ACAAGGAAGGCATATTTGGTTCTATGTGGGGAGGAAGAAGCCATGAAGATCCAGAAAAAGATTTCTGGAACCTGTGACCCCTGAGCGGAACACTGGAGGCTGCGTGGGTACTGATCAGGGAAGGGCCGTGGAGGCAGCCGGAACAATGTGAGCAAAATTAGGGACGGAGGAGACGGCATGGCTAGTCTGGGAAACCAAGGACGTCCGGAGGCTGAGGGGAGGAGGGGCGCGATCCAAAGCAGCCGGGGGTCAGGTCAGGGAAAGCTTCACGTTGTGCTGAGTGACTGTGATTATATCCCAGAGCAGGGGTGTCCAGCTCTTCGTCACCGGGGGCCACGTCAGCCTCGAGGTTGCCTTCAAAGGGCTGAAAGTAATTTCAACTCCTTCACAGTTAAGGAGTAGTTACACTTATACAGCCCTAAAATTATTTCAGGCCTCTGAAGTCAACCTTGAGGCTGACGTGGCCCCCGGTGACAATGAGTTGGACGCCCCTGGTGCCTACAGGACCTACAGGCATTTGGTGGGCACTGCAGGCCAGCGACGTGATGGGGTTTCACTGTGGGGAAGACCATTCTGAGGGCAGCAGACAAAGGGAGGTGGGGAGGGAATAAGCCCTTTCCGAGGCTACTCAGAGGGGGCTGAGCGAGGGCAGTCACAGTGCGAGGACGCAGAAGCAGAGGCTCTGAGAGACGCCTGGAAGGCTGAGAGGTGACAGAAAAGAATTTGATGCCTCCTAGTTTTCTGAAGGAGCAACTGGATAGAGCAGAAAGATGAGACCGTGGACCTGTGACAGGTAACGCGCTCCGTTTAGAGCCTGCGGAGTCCAGGTGCCTCTGAGCCATCTCGTGGAGATCGCTGGGGGAACCTGGAGCTAGAAACACTCACTGGGTCTCATCCCCACAGAGGTTGTCAAGCTACAAAAGTGGACATGAGATGAAATGGGTCAGATTGATTTGAGGCCATCAGGTCGCACATAAACTCATTAAAGATAGCTGCGACCCTCAGAGCACACTGGCGTATGTTTAAGTTCTCAATGAACAGGAAATGCACTGATTGACAAGTTACAGGTTGTTCATAAGAAGAAAATACCTGTTTTCGCTAGTGAGATCATTCCACAGTGGCTGAGGCGTTCTAAACCGAACACTCTGACGATGCCGCTCTGACGAGAGGACAGCACAGACCCCAGGCAGGTGCTTCAGTCGGTCCCCGCAGCACCCCCTTCTGCCGAGACAATACTGTTGTTCCTGAACGACACACACAGACGACAGTCTTTCCCTTCAGAGGCTCTACAGGGGAGATGCAAAATCTGAGCGGACACGACTTGAAAAACAATCATCCCCATATCTCAGCTGGACACATATCAGAGACAAACAGGTATGACAGAAAAGCATCTACAGAGAAATAGCACAAAGTCTGCTTCAATGAATACATGCTGAGTAGAGCTGTAAGGGGAGTAAGAATCTGGTGGAATGAATGAGAGAAGTCTTCCCGGAGCAGGCAAGTTTTAACCACGTTCAGAAAGCTACGAAGTTTCTGACCAACAGAGTAACGACCACAGGTAAAGAGGACGGACCCAAAGCGTCTTCCGTGCGTGACAGCAGAACAACTAGCGCGAGCCCTCCGTGCACAGCTGGAGGGCCGGGGAGCGCAGGTGACTGGAGACCCTCCGGAAACGGGCTGCAGACCTCCGTCTGCTGTGGCAGGGCATCGCCAGAAACGCTCGAAAAGGAGAATGATGCAAAGCTCTAATTACAAACTCACACGATTCTAACTTTTTTTGTACCATAACATCAGACAACAAATGAAACTAGTATGTTTTCAGTATAAGTACAAACTTAACACTGGTGTTTAAAGAGTTTCCAATTTAGTTATTCTTGGCAGGCTATATAGGGCAGCTCAAAACCTAAATGCTGGTAACGTCAATATGCCCATCATTCAGAATCTGTCAAACTTGAAAGCAACACTCTCTTCCCTGGAAGAAGCATCTGCCTCTCCTTATGTTCCTTCCAGTCTGTGTCAGGAAAAGCAAGCACAGTTTTATGTATACAACTCTGAGCTGATTAAGTTATAGAATATTGCCAATAGGTATTGTGGCAAAATTGCTTGTGGACACTTAAGACCTTTCAGGCTTTAGAAAACCACAATTAGCTTTATCAATCTCTAATCTCCATTGATAATCTTTGGGCCTGAATGTGCAAAAGCCAAACGGAACTTCCACACAGATGTTAAAAAAACAATGTATCCATTCATATCCACTCATCATCCTCTGTTTAACAAGCAGCTCCCACTCCTGACCCCGCACTGCTGTGCGTACAGGCAGAGGACCAGGCGCAGGAGCGCACCAGATCAGCAGTTACGACATGTGAGTTCCAGCTGGGGCCTTCCATGGATTTTTGTGCAACCCTCAATGAGACAAATAACTTCTGAGCCTTTGGTTCATTTAGGTGTCTTCTATGAAAGCAGAAAGTTAAAGGAAGATGATCATTAAGATACCTTTAGCAATAAAATTCCATGATCTTCCCGTTCTTTATCCCAGTATCACCAAGTTCTGTTCATTTTCCTGTACAATAATATTTACATGCATTTTTTATTTGCTATTTCCACTATTATTGTATGACTGCAGGTCTTGATAAACCAATTTTCTGCCTCATTTTTCTTCCAGGATCTCCACACCCTGATTTATACTACAAACACCATACACCTTAATATTCTTTTTCTTTTTCCACTCTCTCCTGAACCTTGAGCGCAGAGTTAAACTGATCACAGTCTCCTTCCTGTGATCTGTTCTCATTCTTAGCCATGAGTGACTGCTCTCGTTTGTTTGTTTGTTTTCCTGTGTATTCTCAAGCTCTCTGTCATTCCCCCTTGTCTTGTGCTTCACATTAAAATGTGATATATCCTTGGAGATAGATATAGATATACGAATATACACATATATGGATATGGTAAATTGTATATTGTTATTTGCATGAGTTTTTATGTTATAGAGCAAATCTTTTTACTTTTAAAATATGAACCTTGTTTTATAAATTTATGTTGCTGTAACTACATCTTTACTTGTAAACACGTGTTTCTAAATGATGCATGGTATTCCACGGGATGCAGTTACTGCATGTTACCTATCCATTTCCTTGGTGCTAGACCCAGGCTGCCTCCCATTCCCTACTTCTACAAATAGTCTTATCCCACAGAGAGAATCACTAATTTGAAGTTAGGGTGCATCACTCCTGGAAATGTTTTTATTTTATTCTTTTGTAATATGTATACAATATGTAGACATTTTATTTTTTACTATATAATTTAATATAGATATGTATCTAAGTATATATGGATATGTAAAATTAAAAATATGTATCCATAATCAATACAATTTTAAAAGCACTTAAAATGTATATAAATTACATCATTCTTTAAGCTCCTTTTGTATTGGTATTTGGTATTTGGTATTGGTATTTGTATTGGTACCTACTTGGTATTATATTGCACACTATGTTTTTGGCACTGATAACTGGGTGTGAAGAAGCATCGCATTATTTCAGCATGCATTTTCCAGAGTGCCATGACTTTTGAAATATTTGGGCACATCCTTTGCCCAGTGTTCTAAGAAACTGTGGTCTATGTTAAGTCAATCCTTTGAAAATTGTTAAGAATTGTTTTGCCACCCAGAATGAGCTCAATGCTTTTTAATGATTTGCACGGATGTGAAAGGGAAGTAGAAGCTGAAGCGCTCTTGTTAAAACCACAGTGACCTCTGCAGTGGGTTGCACAGGGACCCCACCCTGCCTCCCCCAAATTCAGGTCCACCTGAAACTTTATTTGGAGACGGACCTGGCAGAGGAATTAAGGTAAGGATCTCAAGGTGAATCATCGTAGATGAGGGTGGGCTTATAAGGAGGAGGGAGCACGCAGAGGGAGACAGAAAACAAGGCCATGGGGAGACGGAGGTAGGGCGAGGTTAGAGCTTTGGGGTCAGGGCCCCGCAGCGCCTACAGCCCCGGCAGCGGCAGCGGAGGAGGCAAGGAGAGGTTCTGCCCCGCAGCCGACAGCGGGCAGGGCCCTGGCAACACCGTGACGTCAGACTTCTAGCGTCCAGAACTATGAGGAATAAATTCCTGTTATTTTAAGCCCCCAATTATAATTTGTTACGGCAGGGGGGAAACTAATGCGATCTCCGCACGGCTCCGTTCAGCAGTCGGCTCCCAGAGCTCACCCTGCCTCATTCATCCCACGCACTGGACTCAGCAGCCCTCCTCCTCCCGGACACGCCGCCCCCCTCACCCGGCTCCCGGGACACGGCTGGTCCTCGTGCCCTCCCGTCTCACTGGTCTCTCCTCCACCGCCTCTGTTGATTTTCCCTCCTTACCCTCACTTCTCTGAGCGCGGTTGTAGGTTCTGATGTCTTTTCTGCATACGTTACAATTTAAAAACACGTGCTGCAGCATAGAATGAAGACTTATAGGGCTATAGTACTTAATTTTAACTAGCATGGGGGAGAGGGACAAGTGACAATTTTTCTTCTGTCATTTGGAGTTTTTCCTGTAAAATCTATTAATGCAATGATGATTAAACCACTGTACCATAACATTTAATACTGTACATATAAACATATGCGTGTACAGTATTAAATTGTCCAACTTTAAAAACCTTTCATTGGCTGCCTTCTCCTCTTCCTCTCCTCCTTATATCCCTTTTCACTCCCCCTTATGGTGCTCCCTGGTATTACATCTACACTGCATGCTCCGAACCCTTTTCTCAGAAAGTCTGCTTATGGTGGAATCCAAAGAGAGAGACCTGTAGAAAAATTTTATCTAAGGAAATGGACTTATATTATAGTTGCCTTCTGACCAATAGTTTTGATTTCAGCCTCTTTCCATCCCCAAAGATTATACATACAAAACTCAAAAGGGAGGAAAAAAACACCCATTGGAAAAATTATGGTCTCATCAGTTTCTCCAAAAAATAATTAACACTAAAATAACAAAATTAATTTAAAAAAATACCTAAGTTGTTTTCGGAGTCGCTCGATTTCCACATTTTGTTCAGTTACTGTTTCCAGAAAGTGTTGGTTAGTCTGCCACAGGAAAAAAATAAAAACATTCAGTGTCAGAACATTTAAAGCTACTTTGTTAAAGATTTACTGTAGAACATATAAGTAGAGAAATAAAATGACGTAATGATAATGATTAGATCTGTGGAGGGTAAAATAAAACCCTGGCCATTTTTCCTTGCCTTTACCGCGACAGGGGCCACCTGCTTCCGTCCAAACTACGTGCGTCTGCATCTCTGCCCTACGGCCTTCTCTGGTGTCTGAGCCTCCTCTGCTCCCTAACTGTGCAGAGGGCGCCGGGTGTCAGAGAGTTCAGGTCCCCAGCCTGCTCTGGAGGGACTGGTCTCGCGACCCTGGGGGAACAAATCCGAGCCTGTGTTGGACAGGGGCCCCCACCGTGTGTGGGTGGGATTAAGTCTCAGTCGCTCACAGAGCTGATCCGCTTCCAGTTAAAGACCCTTCACTGGAGCTTCTCTTCCCTCCCGGTCTCACTCCCCCACACCCCTGCTGGTGCACTCTGATGTCATCTCCTGAATAAGCCACAGGCTTTGAAACCTTTCCCTCAGGGTCTGCTTGGGACGGAAACTAAAGTAGGATATGAAGCAGTTTTCCAGGTGTAGAACATTTTTTCTAGGGGAGCTGATGATCTTCTGTAAGTGCTGGTTTCACCGCGATGGTATCAATTCCCCATCCTTCTCCATGTGTCTTATGTGCAAAATCATGCGGACGACAGTTAACTGGCAGTCCTGACTTCAGTCTTTCCCACCCTGGCGGACCACACACGTCTCTCCAACAAAAGTCCCGGGGGTGATCTTCACTGTGCTGCTGCTCTCAGGTTCACGGACCTCGTAATTCCCGCACAGCGCTTTCTCTCCCCGCGCCGGGATGGCCTCGCTCTGCCGGCCGGCGTTCGTCCCTCCACGTCCTGCGCGGTCCGCTCGCGCTAAGGCGGAATTTCCTTTTGACGTTTTGATAAAACTTCATATGCACTTTTACAATGCACACGGCATTATATTTAAATACTACAATACTGAAAGTGTATGTATTTCTGGCTACAACAAGAACCGTTGTGTGTGTGTGTGTGTGTGTGTGTGTGTGTGGACCAGCTTGTCCCGGAACCCCCAGGGCCTGGCACACGATTCAGCACATTTCTAGGACTTCTACTTCTGAGAGATGAATGAGTGGATGGATGTCTTCATGAGACAGGAAAGAAAGCCTCTGCACTGCATCTTCACCGTTATCTTGGGAAGGAGGCTGCTGCAGACCAGAACTCAGTATTCAACTCACAGACCACAACTCAAGAGACCAACTACCACATGCAGAGAAAGAAGGACAGAATAATAAATAGGTAAATTATACATCAAAAAATTAAAAAACAACAACAACAAAACAACCTGGGTGTAACATTAGGCATGAACCAGGAAAGACATATGGTTACATGCAAATGACTGAAGGGCTGAGTTGAAGAAATGAGCTTTCTGTATTACTGCAAAAGATAAAACCATGTATCAGCGGGAAGAAATTGATGAGAGATTTTTAGCTTTCCAATAATCAGAGTTGAAAGGAAAAGGCTGTTAGGGGAAGAATGATATCTCTTACAGGGGATAGTCAAGGCAGAGGCTGACTTATCATCTAGCTGAAAAGCAATTAATAGGAGGATGTCTACTTCGTGTGGGGTAGTAGGTGACCTTCATTGTAATTTCAAAGTCTCCTGTGAAGCCGCTTCAACGACTTCAGTCCAAACCGACTCACTTCTCTGAATACCTCTGTGGTGTCTGTATTGCACGATTAATGCTTTATTACATATACTGTTTTGGCACTAGCGTAAATAATGCTTGTGCTTTTTTTTTTTTTTGTACTATTTGGGAGCACCTTAAAGCTAAATGATATAGAATAATTAGTAGAAGTATAAATTGGCATCATGAATTTTAAGAAGCTGGTGTTGGTAACGCACGTAACTTGGCAGCAATCCTAGCAGGAGCTCAACAACTGCACCTGAAATATGACCTTGTTCTGTGTGTGTGATCAGACCCAGATGTGGAAGACTCGTGGACGCAGAGACTCGTAAAGGCCAAAGGAAGCATCTCTTCCGGTCATCATCTATTTCAGCACTTTATTCACTGATTATTTCACAGTCTTTCCTTCAGTAGGAAGGTTTCCAACAAGTAGACCAGGGCTCTGTGGATAGATGCACTTTCTCTTGCAACTAGAGAATCTATTCCAGTGCGAGGAACTTAGTATGTAATTAACAGATATTTTTGAGTATTTTTAGAGAGATAAGCAAACTCAAAAAAAGAATATGAATTCAAGCAAAGAGAACCTGCTGCAAATAGAACTCTTACTGTATCTAGTCACAACAACTAAATGTAAGCTTGTCCTTTTAGGGGCCATGCAGGTCAGGGCATTTTACCTCTGGCATATTATTGATGTGCACTGCTCACAAAAGCTATTTCATTTACTTGGTTTATACTCGTCAATTTTTTGTACATCTATAGAAACCTACTCATTTATTGAGTTTATTCATGTAATCAGGAAACTTTTAAATAGAAGCTGTTTAATATTCAAAGGGCACTTTTCTTCACGTTGATTTTGACCCTGGCCCTGTGACCGGGCTCTGAATGTGCCTGGGACACATGAGAGCATCACAGTCACCGAGCTGCCTCCCTGTGCACCCGGCAGTCCTGCCTGACACTTCCTGTGCACACTAAGAAACCCTCACGCTTTAAAGTTTCCCTTAACCATTGTCCTTATTCTCACCGCAGTAGTCTTTTATTTGCTCTATGTAAAACGACTCTCTTTTATCCATGCCACAGAAATTTTTAGTGTATTTCCTATGATTACTCAAATATTCTTTTCTCATGACTTTCTTTTCTTTTTTTTTTAAGATTTTATTTATTTATTTTTAGAGAGGGAAGGGAGGGAGAAGGAGAGAGAGAAACATCAATGTGTGGTTGCTGGGGGCTGTGGCCTGCAACCCAGGAATGTGCCCTGACTGGGAATCGAACCTGCGATGCTTTGGTTTGCAGCCCACACTCAATCCACTGAGCTACGCCAGCCAGGGCCCTTTTCTCATGACTTTCATCACAATGATTCTGGGTTATTTATGATAAAACAGGGGCTACGCTGTGCAATATACCAAAGAGTTACACAACCCCCATAATTCTAGGGGGCATTCTGAAACAAAGAAGGGATAATTGTGATGTTACATTATTAATTCCATGTAGAAATAGGATTTCTTAATTATGGAAATCAGTCATTTTGTTTTGTATTTTGTTAATACCATTTTAAAACCCTAAGAAGTATATTATAAGAAACTAAGTGACTGGCAATTCTAAATGTTAACATAAGTAAAATAGGGTAAAGCTGATTTAATATGTTTACATGGTTAAAGGAGAAAATTTTAAAAAATAGAATAAAATTGTATAGCTTACGTTTGATGGCACCACACCGCACTTAAACACAGACATTTTCATTAGGTACTAACAAGAAGTAACAGAGTCACTGAGTAAAACAGAGAAAGGAAAGAGAGTAGCTACCTGAGATGTCACAATCCTATTACTCAACAATGAGGTGAAATAAAACCCCAAGAAGGAAAAGAAAAGGGAAAAGAAAAGAGAAAGAAAAAAATCTGAAAGGAAGGAAAAGTCAGAGAAAAAATGGTCAAGAACAGAATTGGAAGGGCTAATTACATTTGTTGAGAGGAAAAAAAAAAGCCAGGGAAACTGAGGTGCACCTGTGGGTGCCAGTGGTCAGTCAGCTACAGTGGGTTCTTGGTGTCCGGAGGTTTTTAAGAAACGAGGCTCTGCACTGATGTGACTGTTCTATGGAGCATACCCAGCAGCACACGCGACCTTTCTTTGAGGAGGTCACAGTCTAGATTACTCTCAGGAGATCCCACCTAGGGCCCCAGAGTAGTTCCAAATTAAAATATATTTCAGATAGATGTTCGCTTTAACTCTCCTGTCGTGTTATTAAATGTGAAAGAAAAAGACAGATAAAAAGAGTACTCCTTACACTTATCTAGTTTAGTTTCATGCAACCATTATTTTCTGCTAATTTACATCAGCATAAATAAATATTTATAGTGACAATTTCTACTGTATGTAAGCAAGTACACTAAATAGATAGTCTCACTTACCATTTCTATGTTCTCATTAGTGACATGCAGCTGCTTGGTCAGCTGTTGGAAGCTGCTCAGCTGATCCTACGGTACAAAAGGTAGGAGGGGACACAGAAGCAGCATTCAGTTTGCAACTCTTGTTTAGAACTGAACCAAAGTGAAGTTTAAAAATCACTATGTCTAAGTCTAGATAAAATCAATGCCATTTCTTCTATTACTGTGTGAATTGATAGTTGAAGAAATAATACACTTTTATATAAATGATTACAAAATTAAGTAAGTAGACAACATGGAAAGTCATGTAGTTATTTGTTACACTATAATCTAGAAATCAGTTCATTAGTAAGTGGACGCGCTGGAGAAGTCTTGCCCAGCGCTGGAAACACGCTGAGACCTATTAGAAACCGGCAGCGCAAACACGGCCAAGAGTTCCTGCCCCGCTCCCTGCTTTTGCAGATTCTCACAGCTTCACCGCCACAAGGTTTTAATCGTTGGACTGTCTGCGACACTCCTATTAAACTTCACATGTGTGGGTGACAGACAGTTGGGAGGAGCTGCTAATACATTAGATGACAGAAGTAAAGACTGATAGAGAACTGGGGAAATAAGATCATGGTATTGTTTGTGAAGCCTTGTGAAAAGAAATTACTGCACCGCTACAGTGCAAACATAATCCTACTCAGGTGAAGAAAAAAACAAAATCACGATGGCTTAGGTGACTGACCTCAATAAAGAAACAACCTTGGAGAACATCCTTATATTAGAAATGCTTTCTATATCTCAGCAGTAACAGTCTTATGGGTCAGATCACCTGGGCTATTTTTAAACCAGGGCATATAGAGAAAAGTTATTTAGTAAACTGCAAAGCATTGTGTATATTGTTATGACTTCTTCAGGTAGAAATTTCCAATTACAAACATTGCCTTCCCAATATCTACAGAAAAGCCGTCAGAATTGGAGTTACTCCATAGTTTTCAATGCTCCTGGCAGAAAAAGGACAAATAAAAGGATAGAGGAGCACATTTTCCGGAGGAACGGACGGCCCTGTGAGACAGGGGCTCTCGTCAACAGGAGCTTAAAGTGACACTGACCTGTCTGCTTTGGAAGAATATACAACAGGGGCGCCAAACTCATTTTCCCTGGGGGCCACATCAGCCTTGTGGTTACCTTCAAAGGGCTGAATGTAACTTTAGGACTGTACAAATGTAACCGCTCCTTCACAGTTAAGTGAGAGTTCAGTGCTGTCACAGGGACGGTAAAAACAAGGTGCTGGCCCGATAAAACAAGGCGGAGGGCTGGATTCGGGCCTTTGTGTTTGCCGCCTGTGATGTACAATGATTCTTGTTTTGGATACAAAGAAGTCTTTAAGGAGTCATTGATATCCTTTCCTATGGGTAAAGTTTTATTCTGATTAATTTATGTTAGACACACTTGACACCTCTTTTAGTAAAAGGTCACATTTAAAGGTGTCAATTTTCATTTTACATAGTGTTATGATAATTGAGCAAATTTCTTCATTGGTCACGATCCAATGACCAGTTTTTCTCTTTTAAGCCAGGTAGGAAACCAAGAACATAAAAGCTTTAGAAGCCCATTTATACATAATAATCTAATAGCTGCTTCTTAACACTAAGTACGGCTTTCACTGCTAAGCACCTCCTCAAACCCAATGCGCATCAGCACAGGCTGCGATTATCCGTTCAAAAGATCTCTGGCCATCAAAGTTCTCTTTATTGTTCACCCAAATGACACACTAGAAACACAGGCCTTCCTCTCCAAAACCGAGTTTTTCCAGGATGCGGCTTCTTCCCGATGTAAAAGAGAACCGTGATGCCCGAGATTACCTTTTGTTTTTGACTCTCGGCTACATAAATCTGGGCCTCCATCACATGTTCCTGGTACAGTTTCTGCAGTCGGTTCAACTCCTGAGAAACGGTCTGCCAGAGCTCCACGGCCTGGTTCTTTTCCTGCGAAACAAAAACATGGGAGGCCTCATTAAATTGTTAGCAGGCCATTGTATAGTACAAAATACTCATATTCTTTTACAGAGTAAATTCTTGTATATAAAGTAACAAAAATAAAATTCTGTGTGACGATGGTATAATTGTGATATTAAATGAATTTTTTTGGAGAGCGGGGGAAGGAGGTAGAGAGGGAGAGGAACATCGAGGTCAAAGAGAAAGACGGAACTCAGGCTGCAGCCCAGGCACAGGCCCTGCCCTGCCTGGGGATCAAACCAGTGACGCTTTGCCCGGTGGGGATGAGGCCCTCCCGCTGAGCCACACCAGTCAGGGCTGACTGTAGTGTTTTCTGATGCCATGAAGTTGTATTAATAATTCAGAGAATAAAACTGAAGATGAAAATGTCTTTCCTTGAAATTTTCTCTTTATTTACATTTCATAGGTAAAATTAAAATCCTTAAACCAGAAATAGGGATTAAACCACTCTCCTTCCTCATCAACAAAGCGTAAGCCTTAGCAATTACTGACAATGAAAATTACCCCAGTAAAGTACAAGACTTTTTGTGATTGTAGAATACATGTTTATTGCAGGAAATTAGGAAAACACAGAAAAATAGAGAAGAAAATAAGAATTACCTATAATTTTACCAACTGACAGTAAATATTCCTAACATTTGATTATAATCATGTTTATAAATGTTGGATGTACTGATGTTTATAAATGTAATTTTGGGGGAAAATTTTGTACTTTTTTTTTAACAAAACTGGAAATCGTATCGTGTGCTGTCTGTATTATACAATTTTCACTTGGTATTTACAATGGGAATCTTCTCAAATCATTACTCTTTCAATACAGCAATTTTCAAAGTACGGTATGGGGATCCTTGAAGTCAAAATTATGTTTCCAATGAAACAAACCATTTGCCGTGTGGACTCTCATCTTCTGATGAGAGTCAGTGGAGTTTCCCAGAGTTTATATGATGTGATGTGTGATGCTCTCATCACTCTGATGGCTGCTGCAATGTGCTCTTATGCTCCCACTCATTTTTAAAACGTCCGTTTAAATCTGTAATACAATAGAAACTGATAGATACACAACTTACAGACCCAAAAATCTCTTTGGGGTCCTTAGTAATTCTTAAGCATCCTGAAGAGCAGCTCTGAAACCCAAGAGTTTGAGAAACACTAAACGAGCATGCAGAAAGCATTGTTTTCTTTTTAGGGACGTGGAAACGGAAGTTTAGGCCATTGGCATAGGGTTCCTCAGCAAATTAATGGCAGAGTCAGAGAGAAACTTTCATAGAAAAATTTGTAGCTAATCTGCTTTTCCCTTAAACATTTTTTGGGTAATTTATTGATTTTTAGAGACAGAAGTGGGGGGAGAGACATCAGTTTGTTGTTTCACTTATTTATGCATTCATTGGTTCCTTCTGGTATCAATATGTGTGCCCTGACTGGGCTCTGAACTGGCAACCTTGGCCTATAAGGACAATGCTCTAACCAATCGAGCGACTCGGCCAGGGCTGCTTTCTCCTTTTTGACTGCTCAAACTTGGACCTCAACAAATCCTCTATGAAACAACGGATCCAAATGCAGCAAAAAAGTGAGAGCTTTCCATCTACATCTTGTGATGCAGAGGCAGAGAGAGGAAAGACAGAAGAAGAGGGTAAGGAATGGGAGTATGGTTTTAAAAAGTATAGTTAAAAAGTTTGGTCATAAAAGAGTAAGTAATTTTCAAATTTTGGTAAAATTTACCACTGGGAATTATAGCAACAAAACTACCAGAGAGAGATGCTTTTTAGAGACATGCCAATTTTTAAAAATTTGTTTTTGAAACTACAAATACAGTAGTTTGAAACTACCAACTACTACATATTTCTTCTGCATAAACATTTATAAGTCCTTCCTGATAACACTAGTCTAGAGCAAGTAAAAAACACGATTTCCTCATGTTTTTGCCTTCTAGGGCCTTCCAAACTCCTTTCCTTTACAGATTAAAAAAAAAAAATCAGGGTTCAATACATGCTCCTGATATCAAGGTAAATACAACAAATCCGATTAACCTAAAATGTCACTTTCATAAGTAAACATTTCCAAAACCAAATTTCTGAGGAATAAAAATAATTGACTTTTCACAGATAACTATAATCAAAATTGTAATATAGAATTTCTAATCCCCATTTATAAGTGAGGAAACTGAGGCACACAGCTAGAAAGGAGAAGAATTGGGATTCACATCCATGTCAGATATGAGATGCCTAGGATATAAAGCAGCAAATTAGAATAAAATTCCCTTACGTATATCTCAAATAATTAGTACTGAATGCAGAATATTCATAACATGGCTTATCAAATATTTCAATACAATGAGGAAAAATAAAACAAGAAAGAATCTAATTCTAGAAGTATCATTTTAGAAAAATGTAATTGTAGAAGTATCATTTTTGAAAAATATAATTCCATAATCTTTGTAAATGGAAGATAAAAAAATAAAAAAAAAACAAATGTTGGAAAGTGGATAACTGATGATTTTTCTCTTTAAAAATATCCTTTGACATTAAAATATTTTATAAAATAAATTCAAGCCCTGGCTGGTGTAGCTCAGTGGATTGAGTGTAGGCTGTGAACCAAAGTGTCACAGGTTCGATTCCCAGTCAGGGTACATGCCTGGGTTGCAGGCCATGACCCCCAGCAACCGCACATTGATGTTTCTCTCTCTCTCTCTTTCTCCCTCTCTCTCTTTCTCCCTCCCTTCCCTCTCTAAAAATAAATAAATAAAATCTTTAAAAAAAATAAATTCATGTCACAAGCTTTATGAGTCAATTAAAATATATATTTGACAACTACATTTATAACAATCAGGGTATTATTTAAAAGGTTTGTTACATGTTAACTATTGCATGAATTGTAGAAAATCGTGTTCACAATTTTGTTATTTTGCTATCATAATTCATAAATAATGATTAACACAGATTTTTAAAAGCTGTTTATTCAGAAACTGATTTTAAAAATATATATGTCACTCACTTGGTTGGCTAGGTGTAACTGTTCCTGAAGATTCTTAACTGTTTCGTCATCCACGTATATATCACTTTTCATCCCCTCGATGCCGAGGGGAAGGGCCTCCAGCTGGTTTTCTACAGCAGCTTTTAACTCACCGTGCAGCCTTTGGGGCAAACGGTTAGCACAGCAATCATCTAAATTCATTTTAGTAACACTGATTAATGTTTCAGGGTTAATTAAATAAACATTTGGGTTAAAAAAGAATTCTTTACCATAAAGATCATTTTCAAGCACACCTTAAAAATGAGAAGTTTTTAATCACCATTCAATACTTTGCTATAAGAATAAAAGCATTATCTTACAATTTCAAATGCATTAAATTGGAAATAATTAATTCAAGTCTAATCCAGTTTTTCCTAGGGAGTTTTTGAATTTTCAAAAAGGTAAAATTCAGATATCATACTTTAATTGATAAAACAAGACATTCAGAAAAATATTTAAAATGTGACAGTGTTTTCTTCTAGTACATTAAATGGAAATGGGGTATTAAATCTTATAGAATTATTTGTTATTTTCTTCACTGTCACAAAACTTATTTGACATTTTACTCGTCTCAGTTAATGATCAGACAATGAAACTGTTGTTAGTTATGAAATCAAGATTACTGAGGCTTTTTAAAGCACATTCTTACATAGCTCAACTATAGTTCTGAAAACCTTAAATTCAATGTAAAATTAATATTAAACTAAATTACAGATAGTTCATACTTTAAAATAGCTAAAAAGGCAAAGGAATATACAAATTAAAAGACTAAGTATTTTATTTTAAAATTACACAAACCTAGGAGGAAAAAAGTTTTATAATATCATAAAAATTTTAAAACCATGCATATAATTATAAGCAGAAAATATTTACTATTAACACATAAATAACAACACTAAAAACTAAACAATATATTACTACAAACACATACACGTATAAAAACTTTCAAACGCAAGAACATGGCAAGTACAACGTTCAAGGCAGCGTTCACCTCTTGCAGAGGGGAGGAGGATGGGCAGGAGAAGGAACACGTGGGCGGATGCCCCAACTGTGTGACATACTGGCTCCTAAGTTGGGTGGCTGCTTGACAGGTTTGTGTTGTATCTGTATGTTTTATAACAATAATTGCTAACATTTAAAAGATGCTTATCAGGTAGCCTATGTCAAGTACTTTATAGATGAAGAAACTATGGTACAAAGAGGTTAAGTAATTGTGCAGGGCCACACAGCTAGTAAGTAATGGAGCCAGGAACTGAACAAGAAATCAGGCCCGAGAGACAATACTCATAACTATACAAGTATAGTTATACTATATAGATATACACTTTGTATTCTATAAATAAAATATCAAATAACAATAAAATTTATCTGAGACAATAAGAACCAATAGTTAGGTGATACAGTACCTTTCATTTTCCTTGATGACATTTTCAAGATGTAGTTTCATCTCACCCATCTGTTTCTAAAAGAATAAAATATGGTTGTAGACATACATTTCCCAATCAGATCTCTATTAAGTCATCCATTCATATGCAAGCAATCATATTCTATGACCCGTCTTCAAATGAGAAATAATTATTCTTTACTTCTAACAAGCAATATTAGATACGAAAATATTAATGATACACAAAACTTATAACATTCATTCTGAACAGAATATAAAGAAAAGCATTTCATATAACACATTGAGATAGGTTTTAAATGTAATTCCATGATCTGTAGATGATTACGGAAAAAAGAGATGAAAGATATCATTATGTCACTAGAACAGGTATCAGATGCTTCCTTTACCATGAATATGCATTTTAATTAATTCACCTTCATTGAGGTGGAGCCTATACAAGCACTTGTATTTCAGAAAGTAAAATATTAATGGTGAAAAAATATGTAAAGATCTTTAGCATTCATTCTTCCAGTCTCTGATTCACACCTTTATTAATTGTGTAAACTCTCTGCACTATACCAGGCTGCCACGGTAAACCAATGTGGTCACTAACGTCGGTAGGAAAGAAGGGAAAAAATGACTAAAATACAAAGAAGAATAAAATATATACTATAAAGGGAATGAGATGAAGGTTTGATTAAGTACCTCTGAAAGGATAAAGGGGTCATAGGATTTCAGCAGGAAAGGTAGAGCATTTCTGGTAGGGAGAAATATATGTAACAGTGAAGAGCAAAAAATACAGCTAACACCAGAGTGACAGTCAGCTGTCAAGAAGGGTGAGCGGGCGCTGAAGAGCAGGAAGGAGGCCGTGTGAAATCCAGTTAAAGCAAAGCTGCAGCCAACTCCTGACCATCCCGTTAGACTTGACTGAGTACTGAGGCTAGAGGAGAGGAGCCAGGCAGGAGGGAGCCTGGCAGGGGAACCTGGAACAGCCAATGCTCCCGGCCTCTCTCCCTTCCTACCACAGAGGCTCAGGGTGGCCTCGGCACTCAGTACCAGCCAGTTCTGCCCAAAGCTAGCTGGGAAGAGGAACCTTCCCCAGGCCCCATGGTGCCTGAATCGCAAATCAAGGTGAACGAATTTTCTAACAGATAATTGAGATCCGACCCTACGTGCAGCACTGGTAGTGAGAGATAAAGCTAAAAAGACAGGTGGCAGATTTTGAATGCCACGCTAACTAGGAGGTCTGGATTTTAGTGGAGCAATTATCCCCACTTTGTAATTAAACAAACTAACTGATCTTTAAAAGTTGCAAAAATGTCAGAATACCTTGAAAGTATTTTTATTACTCAAATAATTTTTAGGTAGGATCTATATGCACCAGCCGGATTAAAGGTGGATCGGTACTGCCATGCCAAAGATTTTTCAGAGTAAAATATTCCCAAACACTTAACAGTTGGAAGGAAACTAAATCTCAGTAGTACCTCTCATATCATCAAATTTCCTCCTGTTATTTACATTTTCTGGAAGGAAAAATCTTCCATATAGAGAATTATAGCAATACTTTTCTTGCTTTCAAGACATACTATTTTTTGACTGGGTCCGTAAGATAAATCTTAAGTACTAGCTCTAATCAATAGTATCTGTGTGAGCTAGTGTTTTCAGAAGGAGCTATCGGCATCTTTGCATCTCTCTAAAAGTAGCAACTATTGTTATCATAGACCCTGGGGCTTCCAGCTTCTCTCGTCATTAATTCAGCACTATCACTCCTAGATAGAGAATGCCAAATGGAAAGATGAAGTTAAACCCTTAGTAAAATGGCCAATCAAAGAGACATATAAATCAGATACATTATGAAAAATTAAAATTTTTAAAGTTTAATTTCATGATAACAAGCTATTCCATTTTGTAACAATCAAATCCACATATGTCATTATAGCAAATCCAAGACAGTGAAATTAGCAGATATTTAAAGCACACTAGTCCTAAAAATAAAAGCAAAATGCCATTTGTGCAAAAGAGAGCTTTTTGTTGCTACTGTCAAATAGAAAGATTAAAGGACATTACTATGGGTGGCTCAAAACTTAAAGGACCACAGGCTAAAGACCACTCACAGTAAAGACGAGGGAAACACTTAACTTGTGATAAAGCAGAAACTGCAAATTTAATGAGATGTTTGTTTTTGAAATTTGGTTTTACAGAATCACTTTATAAGTTTATATATTAGAAGAATGACCTTGGAAATGAAAAGCATAAATAACTTCAAATGAAATTGGAAGAACTTTATTTAAATTTTTTTTATTGTTTAAGTAGAGTTGTCTCCATTTTCCCCCCACCACTACCCCCACCCCAGCCATCCCCACTTCCCATCCTTCTTTGGTTTTGTCCCTGTGTCCTTTATACATATTCCTGGAAATCCTTCCTCCTTCTCCCCCCACTATCCTCTCCCACCTCCCCTTGGCTTACTGTCAGTTTGTTCTTAATTTCAATGTCTCTGGTTATATTTTGCTTGCTTGTTTGTTTGGTTGATTAGGTTCCACTTATAGGAACCTAAGTTCGTATGGTATATGATGTGAGATCATATGCTACTTGTCTTTCACCGCCTGGCTTATCTCACTTAGCATAATGCTCTCCAGTCCCATCCATGCTGTCACAAAGGGCAGGAGCTCCTTCTTTCTGCTACATAGTGTTCCATTGAGTAAATGTGCCACAGGGTTTTGACCCACTCATTTACTGATGGGCACTTAGATTGTTTCTAGCACTTGGCTATTGTAAATGGTGCTGCTATGAACATTGGGGTGCATAGGTTCTTTTGGATTGGTGTTTCAAGGTTCTTAGGGCATAATCCCAGCAGCAGAATTGCCAGGTCAAAAGGCAGCTCCATTTTTAGTTTTTTGAGGAAATTCCATACTGTTTTCCAGAGTGGCTGTGTCAGCCTGCATTCTCACCAACAGTGCACTAGGGTTCCCTTTTCTGCACAACCTCACCAACACTTTCTGTTTGTTGATTTGTTTATGATGGCCATTCTCACTGGTGTGAGTGGTATCTCACTGTGGTTTTAATTTGCATCTCTCTGATGGCTAGTGATGCTGAGCATCCTTTCATGTGTCTCTGGATCCTCTGTATGTCCTCCATGGAGAAGTGTCTGTTCAAGTTCTTTGCCCATTTTTAAATTGGGTTGTTTGTCTTCCTGGAGTGGAGTCATGTGCGTTGTTTATATATTATGGAGATCAAACCCTTGTCCGAGATTTCATTGGCAAATATGTTTTCCCATACAGTGGTTTTTCTCTTGATTTTAATGCTGTTTTCTTTAGCTGTGTAGTTTTTTATTTTGATGAGATCCCACTTGCTTATTCTTTCCTTTATATCCCTTGCTCTATGGGACATATCAGTGAAAATATTGCTGCGTGGAGTATCTGAGATTTTCCTGCCTATGTTCTCCTCTAGGACTTTTATGGTGTCATGACTTATATTTTTTTTGCACGTATTATTCCAGCTCTCCCAACACCATTTGTTGAAGAGGCTATTTTTACTCCATTTTATGCTTCTGCCCCCTATGTCAATATTAATTGACCACAGATCCTAGGGTTTATTTCTGGGTTATCTAATCTGTCCCATTGGTCTAAATGTCTGTTCTTATGCCAGTACTAGGCTGTTTTGATTACAATGGCCTTGTAATACACTTTGATATCAGGTATTGTGATTCCTTCTACTTTGTTCTTCTTTCTCAAAACTGCTGAGGCTATTTGGGGTTGTTTATGGTTCCATATAAATTTTTGAAATGTTTGTTCTATATTTGTGAAATATGTCATTGGTACTTTAATAGGGATTGTGTTGAATCTATAAATTGCTTTGGGTAGTATGGACATTTTTATGAGGTTAATTCTTAGTAGAAGAACTTTATTTTTCAACGGTATAAGCACTGTGTGTTCTTATGGTAAAGCTATGTATCAAACCATTATTTTATAAATAGGAGACTGTTATATTAGATCTAATCATCTTATTCAATAAGCCCCGACATTTGCTTATACATCAAAACTTGAGGGCCTACTATGTGCTAGACTTCAAAGCACATGGTAGGCTCTCTTATTGTCAATGCATGAAAAGAAAAGAGATATAAAGTGCTTAATGTCTACCATGTTCATAGCCCCTATCTGAGGAAGTCAGTCTTGGGGGGTTCTTTTTATAAAATGTTGTTATATGTTGTTTTATTTGCATTAAATTAAGGCAAGCCTGCTACTCTTGTCATAACTAAGCTGATGCAAAGATTGGTATTGGAGCCAGACACAAAGATGAGTATGTTAAAACCCTAAGACATCATCACTTCTTGGTGTGCTTAGCTGGAGGCACATACCATCTATTTAAGAAACGCTTCTACTGTATGGTTATCCAGTAATCAAAAAGGCCAGAATTTGAGAGGGTAAGGAAGAAAACATTTTCAAGTCAAAGAAACAGGTTATAAATGTTAGGGATACTCTAAAAATATGGCTACCTGAAATTCAGGTAGTATCCCAAATAATAATGTGCTATGGTATTCTCGTTCTCCCTGAGCGTGTTGTAGGCATCCATGATGATAATCCATCTGTAGGGACAGCTTCCTCCCTTTTCCACTCCTCTTCTAAAGTAATAAACATTTTTAGAAAAAAGCTGGTACAGCTTAAGCTTATATTAGAAGTGGATCAATAGCTTATACAATCTGATAGACACAATATTTGAAATTCAGGAAATAATTTATGCCCAAAATAGTGGGAATGACAGATGAAATGAGAGTAAAGAGAAAGGCCTAGAAGAGGTGAGATGGTTTTGGGTCTTCCTGAGGGAAACTAAACATGTAAGCAACTGATGGACTAAGGGTTGCTTCTAAGCATTGAAGAGACATTCCTGCCAGAGAGCAGGAGCAAGGAAACACTGGATTAAAAACCAAACTGAAGATACTCTACACACACACACACACACACACACACAGTACACACACTGACAGAGAGCTAAATATTTTCTTCTTATCAATGTCTTTAAAAAGAAAGGGAGTCTATTTCACTATTTTTTATAATATTACAGGAAGATGGATAACTATGATGTCATACCTGATAATATTTCAGCTGCCCATTTAGCTCTTCCAGATGCTTATCATACTCAGTAATAGGAGGCGCTACAATGCTAAAGAAAAAATACAAAAACACAAGGCATCTTCTGTTGAATCTGGTTTAGTAAATATGTAACTTATGAAATACATTGGACATCAAAACCTCTATTCTTATTATAATTTTACCAACAGCAATCAATACTTTGCCTTTTTCCTAAACCAGGGGTTCTTAACCTTAGCTCAATTAGTATTCTGTGCTGAATCACCTTTGTTGCGGGGAGCGGATCTGTGCACTGTAGTTGTTCCGCGGCATGCCTGGCCGCTACCCAACAGATGCCAGCGGCACCCTCACCCTCCGCAGTTCTGAAGAGCAAAAGTGTGTCCAGGCCTTGTCAATACCTGGGGAGGGGAGGGAGGCAAAGCACCCCAGTGGAGAGCCCCCCCGTCTAGACTATAATAACACTGGCTAGTTTTTCTTTCCAGTTCGATGAGAGATCATTCAAACCCAATTACTATATAGCAGACCACGGAATACACATTCCTAACACTAAAGGAATTATTTCCATAATAAAGTGTAATTAAGAAAATCGTACTTCTCTGGTAACTCAACCTTACCTTTGGTCAACAACTGAGTTTCCCAAAACGTCACCCCCCTCTCCTTTGAAGGCAGCGCTCTGTGAAAGAGAACACTTCCTCTTAAAAACTGTTTTCTCAGGTCATTGCAGACGAAAATGAGAGCAGTTTAAAACTAAATATGGTTAAAGTGTTTGTAACCTTAGGAAATCTATTAATGCAATGAAAAAGGAGAGAAAAAAATCATCTCATTTGATGTTAAAAATGTATTTGGTAAATTTTAACACCCATACATAATAACTCTTGGCATACTAAAAATAGAAAGAACTTTCTCAAGTTGTTAAAAAAAATCTACCGTAAACCTACTTGAATTACTGTTGTTTATGCTGAAACATCAGAAACACTGCATTAAATTCATTATCACAAAGCTGCTTCCTCACCATCGCTCAAGTTCAGCCTGTACTAGAGGTTCTAGTCAACGCAGCCTGTCGTGCGAGCAGGTTATCAAAGTTTTAAAGGTTGAAAAAGAAGATAAATATTATTATTAGATTGGCCAAAAAGTCTGTTATGCTTTTTTCTGTAAAGTAAAAGACATTTTTCATTTTCTCCAATAACTTTATTGATTTGGATATTTTGAGTATGTTGGCTATCTCCCGCTATTGGCTTCTAGTGGGTAGAGGCCAGGGGGGCTGCTAAACATCTTCTGATGCCTAAGACGGCCCCACAGCAAAGAATCATTTGGCCAAAATGTCGACAGTACCAAGAAACTTCACAAGTCACTTGTGACACATTCAATCAGTCACAGCACCTTCTCTATACACTGCACGAGTCTTTTTTGTTTTCATTGAATTTTTAACTTTTCTGAAATAATAAAGCATAATATGCCAAAACGTTGCATATCTTTTTCCGTCTTCATCATTAAAATGGCTGCACAAAAATTCACCCATTTTGATGTTATTTTTAAATGCATGCTGACATGACAGCTGTCACAACAAAATCTAACAAATTATTATTTTGAATGAAGTTGAAGACAACTAAGCACTACTAGAGCCTCTACTAGAGGAAAAAAATGTAATGGACTTTTTGGTCAACCCAATTATTATTTACAGACAATTTGACCATTAACATAGAATCTACCAATTATTAGAACTAATAAGAGAGTACACTAAGTCATCAGATAATCAATATAAAAATGTGGCTTTTCCAAATATTAGCAATAATTAGAAAATGTAATAGAAAAAAATCCTATTCATTACTGTAACAAAAGGTAGTACTTAATAAATAAAAACAACCAAAAAATGTTGCAGCAACTTCATTGAATAATTAACTATACCGAGTAAGGCTTCGGGTCAAAAAAAGAAAAGAAGAAGAAAAAAAAGAAAAATTGACTATACCAAAAGACATAAAAGAAGATCTGAATAAGCTGGATACTATACCATACTCATGGATGTGTGGAATAGTCAATATTATCAGTATATTTATTCTCTAAAATTCACTGCAACTGCAATAAAATTTCAAAAAAAACCCAACCCCAACCCAACAGAAGAACTTACAAACTTGATTAAACAGCTCTTCAAGTCCTGATGTATGAGTGAATGTGCAAGACTAGGTCAGACACTCCAGCAGAGGAGGAGAGGGAAGGAGGAGGAACGTGCCCTTCCACATAGCAAAACACTGTAGTCGAGTAACTAAAACAATATGGTGCAGACACAGGAGCAAACAGAACAATATTGGAAATCCAAATCCAGGCTCGAGCATTTATAGGTGTATGATATATGAAAGAAGCGAAATTATTACTGAATGGACAAAATACTGCTTTTCAATGAATAACGCTGAGTATCAAAAAGAAATTACATTCCAGCAATACTAAGTGGAGAAAATGAATTTCAGATAGACTAAAGATCCAGAATTTTAAAAATATTTAACAATTAATGAAAGAAAATGTGTTGTTGACCTTGGGTAGAGAAAGCTTTCTCAAGCTCCCAAACTAAAGATGCCTTTTGTCTGTCTTGTTCACCAACAGTCCGAGCAGTGCTTGGCACACTCTTACTCCAAACATACCTTCCAGCTGGAAAACACAAGTATTGCAACCCAGTAACAGAAAGACGGACATACATCGGATATACAGCCAAAGACACCATAGGTGAAGTTAAAATGCCAGCAAAATGTGTCAGCATGTAACATGACCAAAAATTTAGTATCTCGTATAAAGATGGAGAAATAGTCAAACACAAGGAGATGTATGACAATGTTCAGTGCAGCGTTTATTGTAGTAACAAAGAGAAAAAGTCCATCCATAGGATAACTGAAAAATAATACAAGATCCTGTAAGTAGTTCAAGGGATTAACAAGATTTATACGTATCAACATGGATATATCACAAAAATCAAGAGGTCAGTTCTATGGGTGGCGGGGAGTGGGACAGAGGGGAAGAATGAGGGATTCAAAGGGATTTTTAAGGGATCTGTAATTTTCTGTTGTTTTGTGTGTCGTTTTTTTTTTAAGAAGTGTTCACGATCACATATACAATTAAAAACCAATAAAAGACACAACTGAAAGAAGCCTCTGAATTCTAAGGTTTTACGTAACTGATTTTCAACATCTTACCTCCGTACACACTTATTTTACGTACTGCCCCAAGGGCCCGTGTTAGGCACAGCAGATAATACAAAGACAACCAATGCATGGTCCTTAACCGTAAGGCAGGTTGCAGAGTTGAAGAAGGGAGAGGCAAATACACAAGCAACTGCAATAATAAGAGTGAAGACATGCTATGTAAGAGGCACAGAATGTGAGAATGAGTAGGAAAAAGGAAGACCTTTTTTTTATTCAAGTTCTACATACATATAGAAAAGCACTTGCTTCTATTGTAGGTACACCACTCAGTTTCACAAGGTGTATCTACCAGTGCAACCAAAACTCAGAGCAAGAAAGGGAACAGAAACAGTCTTCGCATTTGCACAGTGGGTGCTATGTTAACAGAAATGTGTGCATATTGGTACCAGGGACCATTTTGCATTTCATTTCTGTGGGAACATCAAATCAAAAGCACACAGTTTTGGTAAGTGAAAGCTTAGTGAACTTGGTGCCATGCAAAGCGAAGTGAATTCCTGATAAAGGTCTTTTCTTATGGGTCTACCCCGGACGACACTGATGACCGCTGGGGCAGTGTTCTAACAGTGCCGGGACCGGCTGACTCTCCCACAGGCAGCACTAAGCGGGCTGCTCCCCATCTTCGTGGACACTTGGATTCTTGCCTTTCACGTCAGTCAGTGGGTGTGCAGCGGGGCATCACTGATGTTTTAATTTGCATTTACCTGACAAACACCAAGGTCGAACAAGTTTTTATTTTATTGGCCATCATGAAGTTACATGTTCAAGTCTTTTGCCTGTTTTTCTGAGTATTTTTGATATTCATTTGAAGAGATTTTTTATATAACCTAGCATGAGTTTTTCCCAGACTGCAAACATGTTTTGCCACTTACAGCCTGGCTTTACTTTCTTAATGATGTCTTTTAACGAATTCTTTCATTCTGACTTAGTCCACTTTATCATTTTATTTATGATTACTGCTTTTTGTATCCTTTGGAAGACAACACGTCTACTGCAAATTGACAGATTTGTTCCTGTAAACATCTTTCTAAAAGCTCTATTATTTTACCTTACACATTTAGATACACAATCAACTCAGAAGTAATATTTGAGAATAGTATGAGTAAGGATCAAGATTAATTTCTTTTCCTAAATGGAAATCTGATATGATAGAGCTATTTCTGAACTCTGCTCTGTTCGACTAGTTTATTTCTTTGTCCTTAGTGAATGTCACACTGGCTTAATTTTTAGAGCTTTACAATAAATCCTGACACCTGCTAGTATCTGTTCGCCAGCTCTGTTATTTTTAAGATTGCCTTAGCTCTTCTTAGCCTTTGTACATAAATTTTGGAAATAGCTTCAGAAGTTTGAAGAAAAATAAATCCTACTACCATTTTGATTGAAATTTTGTTGAATGCAATTAACATGCCTTACATTCTATGAACATAGTATATTCTTATATTTATTTCATTTTTCTTCAATTTTATCAGTGTTTTATAGTTTTCCAGTCTTACATACTTTACATTGGAACTATTCCTAAAGATTTAATATTTTTATGCTACTCTAAGTAGCATCACTATTTTAAATTTCATTGTCAATTTGATTATTGCTACTTACAGAAGTAAAATTAAACTTGTAATTTTGCCTCATATTCAAAGAAACTGTGAAGTTCATTCATTAAATCTGACAATTTTAAGATTTTTTTGGATTTTCTAAATATACAATCTTATTTTCTGCAAATAATGATAGTTATTGCCTCCTTTCAGTTTTTATGTACTGTTTTTGCTTAGACTTTAGCATGGTGCCGGGCAAAAGTGGTTTTAGCATGCATTCTTGCTTCATTTCCATTCCCAGGGGGAAACTGTCAACCTTTCACCATCAAGTAAAATGCACATCTAGTTTTTTGTAGCTAGCCCTTTCACACTGAAGAAGTTTCTTTCTATTCCTAGTTTGCTGAAAATTTTTATCATCATAGAGAACTGAACTTGGATCATTATTTTCTAGATCTCTTGAGATAGACAATTTTCTTCTTTTTCTTGCCATTATGGTGATTTGCGTTGATTTATTTTCAAACATGAAACCATCTTTATATTGCTTTCATACTACCTCCCCTCTTACTCCTGCAAGACACGCAGTGAAAGGTAAGACCCACGATGAGTGGAGTCTTGAGACAGCCACGTGTTCTGGGCCCATGGCCTGCGGGAGGAGCCCTCAGCAGCAACACTGCACGGCCACTGCACATAAGGGGCAGGAATGAAGAAACGACTGGATGACTACAATAATAGTACATGACAGAGAAGGACATACACTTTCAGAGAATGAAAGCTAATTTCACCACAGAGTACACTATTAAGTAGGTGAAGATGTGCCCCTACTTGGTGTGTCACCATTAGGCTTTGACAAATGATAACCACAGCGCATAATGCAGGTACGTCTAAAGAGCTGACCAGAGCCATTGTTTATCTGGCATAATCTTCCTCATAATCAAATCAGCCACAGCTTCCAGTAGATATGATGCAATGCACCCTGCCCAGAAGTCTTCTCGGGCTTTAAAATCAATCTTATGTTCGAATCCTCCCTTTAGGCGTATTTTATAAGACACTAAGCAGAAGCACAAGAACTTAAGAATCAGACCAAAGTTTAGAAGCTATTGGATTATGAAAGATTCTCTGTCACCTGCATGCTAATAGTTAGTTAAATGTGTTTAAGAGACAACATAAGAAAAATAATATGATTAACACAGTGAACAGTGGATGGATATTTTCAAGACCCTTGGACTCTGAATCTGGTCTTTGGAAATGAAAAGGAAGAACAGTAGCTAAATGCTGAGTATACATTAGGGTGAAAAAAAATACCTGTAAGGATAAGTACACTCGTGTCAACAAAACTATTCTTTTTTTAATACTCTAAAAATAACTTTCTTTTTAAAACCTTAAAAACAATTTAGTTTAATTACAAGATTCACTGATGTTGAAAGCAAAACACTTCTCTATTAATTCAGTAAACACCTATCACTAATCTAGGAGCAAGAGTTTTCCTTTTAACATTCTGTAACTGAAGAGTTCACCAACAGGTACCTTATTGGTTAAAAAAATTTGAGCACAATATTCATATAAAAACATACACCCAAGGAAAACATATCTTTAAAACAATGCCATATATTATTTACTATTCTTAGTCTGTCTGTCATAATTTATAAGAACTCAGAGAGTTAAAGTTTACAACTGGCTGTATCCTGAAAAGCAATTTTACAATGTTTCAAAACAATGATGCATTCTCATTTTAGAATGCAGACATTTTAACACCATCCATAATATGTAAGCTCTAACTCTGAAAAAAAAAGGGTAATTTTTATAGTTGAAGAATTTACATTCATCAAGCAAAAACAAGCTTTCCTCTTTGTAAGAATCAAAATTGTAAGTAAAATCTCAAAGCACTGTAGGCAACTTCACCTGAGAATAATCCAAAGTAGAATTTATTCAGGTTCATATTTGTGTAAATATATTTACAACCAAAACGAACCAGTTAGACCTTAATTAATTTACATACCTGTACTGTCGAATGTTTGGAAAGATCTTCCATTTGGTACGGCCTAAGAACTTCATTTAGTCTTTGATCTGACAAATAAAAATAGAAAAAGGAAAACCAATTTGTAGTTCATTGGGTAATGTTCAATTTTAAAAAGCTAGAAATAGATAAGTTATTATGTGATATCGCCAACTCAAAACTGCTAGTCTCCCTTGCTTCTCAAAATGAAAGGAATCATCAGTTTCAACACACCGCTTCAGAGTTTAAGATTAGGGCCCCGTCCATGCACCTAACCCTACTATCGCCAAGGGGGAAAAGAACAGTTGCAAAGAACTCATTTTTCTGATCTCATAAATTTAATTTTCTATCTCTGCTAGTTTTCTCTTTAGGTTAGCAGAAGTCAAAAAATATGCTGCACAATTATTTTCAAAATTTTGCTACTAGAAGTAAAAAGAGTTGGAAAGATTAGCTATAGCCATATTCTTTAGAATGGTTAAAATCTGCCAAAATTCTTTTCCAGACAAACCCCCACAGTGAGGAGAAGCTGCAGGATGGAGAATCCAAATTAAGCAGGAGGGGGTAAGAGATGATGGGGAAGGAGGTTCAGAATAAAGTCAAGAGTGCTCAGTCAGCATTATACAAGATGATAAACCGGCCTAACGAGAAATCTACAGCCTGAATGGCATGTGGTAGAAGAAAAGGCTGAGGTCAATGAAGTACACATCCATCCCCAAAAGTTAGGAAAAAGAGCAGCAAATTAAACCCAGAGAAGTGAAGTGAAGGAAATCACAAATATTAGTCACTCAAAGAAAGAAATAGAAAATAAGCACACCAAAAAGAGGATCAACAGATATCATCATCTCAAAAGTTTTAGAAAAAGCATCTGGTGAAATTCAAGATACATTCACGATAAAGATTTAGAAATGTAGGAATAAAAAGGAACTTCCTTAATATGGCAGATTCCTCCATAAACGGACAACAAACATCATACCTAAGGGTGAGAATGTTGAAAATTTTCCCTTGGAAATTGAGAATGGCAAAAAATAAATTATTTTGACATGCATTCACACTCTACTGGAGGTCTAAGTTAACACAATAAGGCAAGTAAAAGGAATAAAAGGCATAAAGACTTAAAAAGAAGAAAAAGTTGTCATTATTTATAGTTACAGTGTCTATGTGGTAAAGGGAAAAGAACACAAAGGTAAATTCTTAGAATCAGTCAGTTTAGCAAGGTTGTTGGATGCAAGTTAATACATAAAAGATAATTGGATTTTTAGATATTGACAACATAAAGTTAGAAGATAATAAAAGGTATCATTTAAAGTTTAATAAAAATATCAATATCTAGAAATAAATCTATCAGAAGAGATGTAAGACTCTTGCACGGAAGACTATGAAAGATGCGGGAGACGAAGACTGGAGGAAGCAGACAGACATTCACGGCTCACAGGAGTCAGCATTGTCAAAATATCAGTTCTCCACAAATTCACCTCTAGGTCAGTGCAATCCCAATTAGTAATCCCTAAGAGCAGTTTTCAGAAATGTAGAAGTAGCTTCTGAAGTATAGGTGGAAATGCAGTGAGAACAGCTCAGACATTTTTGTGAACTAAGAACAGGGGAACAGGGGAACACTTGCTGTACCCGATACCAAGATTTGTTACAGAACTACAGTGATTTGGGTAGCGTGGTAGTCAAAAAAGAATAAACAAAACTGGCCACTGGGAGAGAACCCGCAGATACATCCACGTGCATATGAGCACGTGAGCTGGATCACAGCGGCTCTCCGCAGCAGCGTGGGAGAAGGAGCAATCTTTCTGGAAGTGGTTCTGGGTCAACTGGACCTCCTCAAGGAGGAGAATAAAACATCATTGATAAAAATCAATTCTAGGCGAAATGAAGATCAGCTTGTGAGTGCAAACAACAAACTCTAGAAGAGAACAGAGAGAACAAACAGCTTTATAGCTTTGGGTAGGGAAAGAGTTCTAGATCAGGAAACAAAAGGCACTGGCCATAAAAGAGAAAACGGATAAACTGGGCCACGTTAAAATTAAGTACTTCTGTCTACCAAAATGAGACTGTTAAAAGAGTAAAAATGCCAGCCGTAAACACAGATATTCCCAACCCATGTAACTGACAAAGGGCTTATATCTGGACTATATAAAAAAATTCCATCAACTAAAAGGCGGACAACAGTATAGAAAAGTGGCAACATGACAGAATGGGCACTTCACAAAGAGGTTACCTGGATGGCCAATAAACACAGAAAAGCTGCCCAACCTTATTAGGCACCAGAAAATACAGATTAAAGTGACAATAAAATAAAGACTTAAAGTTAGAAAACAAATGTTGGTGACAATGTGGAATAAAGAGAAGAAAGAAGGAGTGTAAACTAGTACAACTTTAAATTTAAACATACACATAATTCCTAGGGAGATAACCAATCAAAATGTATGCACCTGTGGACTACAGGTCATGACAAAAAAAGGTCGATAGCCTTTATTGATAAGCATTATTCTCAATGGCCCCAAACTGGAAACAAATGCAAATATCCATCATAAGAAAAATGGACAGCCCTGACCGGTGTGGCTCTGTTGGTTGGGCATTGTTCTGAAAACTGCAAGGTTACCAGTTTGATTCCCAGTCAGGGCATGGCATGTGCCTGGGTTGTGAGTACGGTCCCCAGTCCAGACAGGAACATGGGTGTTTTTCTCCCTCTCTTTCTCCCTCCCTGCCCCTCTCTATAAAATAAATAAATAAAATCTTAAAAAAAAAAGAAAATCAGTAAATGTGATACATTGAAAAACCGGAACACTCTATAGGAATGAAATTAACAAAGTACGTCTGCATGCAAGAATATGGATAAATCTCAAAAATATGATCATGTTGAATGGAAAGAGCCAAATACACAAGGATACACAGTTTATGGTTTCATTTATATAAAGCTCAAACACAGGTACCACTGAATTCAGCGTAAAATTAAAGACACTGGTTATCTTCAACTATCTTTGAGGAGGAGATGACGATTACAAGGAGTCTTGCTTCTGGGGTCCTAGCATTCTTGACGTAGGCTGTAGTTACCTGACTTTTGAACTTTGTTGTAATTCACTTAGTTTTAAATTTGTTTTCTTTGTTTGTCTGTATATGTCACACAGAAGCAATATTGCCCCGGCGGTGTGGCTCAGCTGGTTGGAGCTGCACACGTCCTGTAACCGGCTGTGGGGCATATGCCTGGGCTGTGGGTTTGGTTCACGGTCCGGGGGCTATGAGCGGAGACCAGTCGATGCTTCCCTCTCACATCGATGTTTCTCTCTTTCCCTTCCTCTCTTTCTAAAAGTAGTGAAAAAATGTCCTTGGGTGAGAATAAAATAATTTTTTAAACAAACCCAAGAGGAGTTTATCCTCCAAAAAGAAAAGGGCTTAACATTTGAAATTTAGTCAATGTATATCATCCCATGAAAAAACTAAAAATGAAAACAACAGCTTATCTCAAATGCAGAAAAATCAGTTGAAAAAATCTGATATCCATTCTGACAAAAACTCTCAGAAAACTAGGAATGGAAAGGAACATCCTCAACCTATTAAGTACATCAATGAAAAACCTACAGTCAATATCATATTTAATTTTGAAAGGCAGATATTTTCTCCCTAACACTAGGAATGAGACAAGGATGTCCACTCTGCTGTACTGGAGGTTTTAATCAGTGCAATAAGGCAGGAAAATGGAATGAAAGGCATTTAAATTGGAAGGAAGAAGTAAAACCATCTTTATTTACAAGATAAAAACATTGTCTATGCAGAAAATCTAATGGATTTTACAAAAAAACCTACTAGAATAAGTGAGTTTAGAAAGGTTGCATGGTACAATTGGCAAAAAGATTTCTATATAGTGGCAATGATAAATCAAAAAATGAGAGTAAAAGAATAATGCCATTTATAACAGTATCAAAAGAGCAATACACAGGGATAAATCTGACAAAAGATGTGTAAAACCTATGTACTAAAAACTATAAAATATTGCTGAGAGAAATTATTGAAGAGATATGTGAATGGACATATACCTTTTCATTGGTCAGAGAACTCAGTATCATTAAGATATGAATTTTACACAAATTGATCAATAGATCCAATGTAATGCCTATCAAAATCCAAGCATCATTTTTGTAGAAATTGACAAGCTGCTTCTAAAATGTATGAGGGAGTGCAAAGGACCTGGGATAGCCAAAACAACTGTGAAAAAGAACAAGCTTGAAAGGCTAACACTATGCGATTTCAAGACTTATTATAACACTTCAAACAGATCAATGCTACAGAATAGAGTCCAGCAATGACCCTACATGAATACAGACAACGGGTTTTTACCAAAGGTGCAAAGGTCTCCAATGGAGAAAGGATATTCTTTTCAATTGGGCATCTATTTACAAAAAAATCGAGCCTTGACCCTTACCCTCCACCTGTACAAAATTTAACTCAAAATGGACCATAGATCTAAATGTATAACTTAAAACTACAAAACTTTTACAAGAAAACATAGGAGAAAACCTTTGCAGCCTTGGGTTAGGTAAAGGTTTCTTAGATAGGACACAGATCCACAAAATAACCCGAATGGATGAACTGAACTTCATCAAAATTAGAAAGTTCTGCTCTGTGAGAGACACTGTTCAGAGAGTGAAAGGAAAAAAATGAGCCCACCCCCAGTGCCCATAATCCCCACTACAAGAACGAAGTCTTCATTTCTTAGCTTGATACACAAGTCGCTCTTTGAAGAGGTCCCCAAGAACTATCAGATCTCCCCTCTCAGAGGGAAGTGGAAGAATGGTGCAAATATGCTAGAAGTTTACTAGACGATTGGTGAGGTGTGGAATTGGCAGTGGTTATGATGTATAAAGCTGATGCTTTATCACAAAGAGACAGTGTAATGCAGCGTTTCCTGGTGAAAAGTACCAAATCCAATGGAACGAATGAAAAAGAGGCGACTGGGATCAATAGAAGCCAATGTAGAGGTCAGAGGTTAGTGGGAGAAGGGCAAGCCGTCTGTGTCTACCTAGCTGGTGGTTAGGTGGTTCACCGAATAGGGGAACTACCAGTTAAAGGAAAAAAGTGGGGGCGGGGGTCATCAACATCCATCACTGATTCTCATCTCTTTGTGTGCGAACAACTTCCTGAACAAGCAGTTATTTCAAACCTCTCTGCCTATGCTGTCTCTGTCCCCTGAAATTCCCTCCTTCCACTCAACTTATCTTCTAGTAAACAACCATTTTTTCCTCCCAGCAAAATAATTTACTATGCTTTTACTGTCTTAGTCAGTTCTCTCTGTTTTGTTTTTTTACTTCAATTTTATCTAAGAATTAGGGCTGGTTCATTCCCACCAAATTCAGGTTCTGACTGCCTGGGGTACTCTCCCCATCCAGCCAAACTCGCCTGGGCCCACCTCGAGTCCCACCCCTCTCAGAGGGTGCTCAGCTACTCCTCCTTATGGAGGGGGCGTATTCCCGTCCCAAACCTAAGAATCATGCTAACGTTAAAGTAATGTTATTGTGTCATTAATGATTTTAGATAACATACACTGTGCACTTTACATGTGCTAGACACCACGCTGAGTTGCTGCATTTGCATCATCTCCTTGAATCCACAGAACAATGCCATGGGGTTATTGTACTATTTACACCCATTTTACAACCAGAAAACTGAGGCTCAGATTACTGAGTGACATACCCAAGGTCATATACCCAAGCTTTTTCCAAAGACCTGGAAAGAGCACGAGCTGAGGTGCAAGTCCAGACAGACTGAATCCAGAGGCTCAGTTCTTCACCACTGGTCTATGATGCTTCGGAAATGGAACCTTCCATTTCCCCCCTATCTTCCCTGTTGCTCAAGCCCAAAACCTGGTTGCACTCTATGTCTTTCTCCCAAATCCCCAAATCTCCAATCTCACTGTGCCAACCTTAGTTCATTCTTACCTAGGTGACAGTCACCTGATTGCTTTCCAAATCACAAGCTGATCATGTAATTCTCAAGTGATTTCTTTTCAGTGGTTTCTGCAACCCGTGCCATGCTCCAAACTCCTCAACACGTAGGGCAAGGCCCTTCGCCACCTAGCCCGTTCTTCCCGTTCAGCTGCACTGGTCATTTCTCTGCATAAACCATATTCCATCCAAGCCAACCTCCTCTTAAGTCATTAACTAAGCACAGTCCTAATCCCCTCAATGTTGCAAATACTCTTCTATTTGGGATGCACTGCAAACTCATATTAGTACTTCAAATCTCAGCCCAATGGCACCTTCCTCGACAACATTTCATGACAAGTCTGTACTAATTAATATGTTTAGCGCTATGTGTCAGATACCTAAATCCTTTACAAATTCCAATACTAATTTAATCATGTCAACAACTCTATGAAGAAACGGAAGCAAAGGAGTTAGCAGTTGCTGCCACTTCAGTGTATTTATGGAATTTATATATTTCTCTTCTCGAATTAAATTCCTGGAGGGTAGCATTGTCCTCTTCACCTTGGTAGCAGCTCTGCCTGGGTAGCATTGCCACATAATTGGAAAAAAGGAGAATTTCAATAAACATCCTCGAACAAACGGCCGGAGCGGTGCCTCTAGGTTCTAACTGCGGACTCGGACACCCTTCCTGGCCATTGCCCTAGAATCTCCCCGGAGCCTGTGAGAAGCATAACAAACGTGTTCAGTGTCTATAGCAAAGTCCCACGGAAGCATAAGGAGCCTGCCAGTGTTTACCAAATGGTTCTACTGAAGTATATACACATCCTCGTATATTCCACCAAGCCTTTTCTGCAGCTGACTTAAGTTTTCACCAATTTCCACGCACCCAACAGGCATTCACAAAATAGTTGGTCAACCATCACATTAAATATTGCGTATAAGAATTCTCAAAAAACGAATGTGGAGCTTACTTTTCTCACTCACAGAGTCGCTTTCTGAGGCCATTTGGATAAAATTTGAGTTTGGATCTTTACCACCTCGACTTTCCTCGAAGTGACAGAGCTCGCTGTGCGGGAAAACAACACGACCGCAACGCTGCTGCGGAGGCTGTCCAGCGGCGTGATCAGCATCCTACTCACGAGGCGTCCGCAGGAGCCGCGCCCCCTCCTCCCGAGTCCCAGCCGAGTCCCTGATTCAGGAGAGAGACTTCAGATTTCAGGTTTGCTCGGGACCCGCCAAGTGCACTCCGTTCCGCATTTACACGAATCCCACCTGGGTGGGTCCAGGACACGGAGGGATACAGGCGTCCCGCGGGTCACTCGGGTCCTGTCGGGGCACCTTGGAGAGCGGGGAGGGAGCAGGCGGGCAGCCCGGCGGGGGCGCACTTCTCGGAGTGAGAGGCGATTTCAGGAGGGCCGGGGCCAGTCGCGGAAGTCCACTCGGCCCGCCCTGCCACTTTGAAACCGGTGCACGGACCGCTCCTAGGAGACGGTGATGCCGCCTGCGTCATCACGCGGGCGTCAGCGCTGACGCCATCACGCTTCCTAGCGTCCTCCCACGCTATTGGCTATTTGTCAAGAGGTGAGGGTGGAGGGGGAATGAGAAAGATGACAACTAGCTGAGCCGGCAAAGTGGCGGCGGGAAAGCTGGCGAACCTGTGTTTTCAGGTGGCTGGACCGTGCTGCTTTTTTGTTTATTTGTTTTTTTTTTTTTTAAAGAAAACCCACCAAATGTACACCTGGGTAGGTCATTAAGTCCATGTTTTCAATTCCCCAGTACCTTTGATACCCAGCCCTCCTGGACTGGGAGAACCCGCTCACCAAAGTGGGTGGGTGGAAAGGCTCTTGGGTTCTGAGTCCGAGGGGAATCCAGACTGGCATCTTTGGAGATCTCCACCAAGGCTGACCCTTGGGAGGATTTCTGAATAAGGGTTCGATAATCTCCAGAAACCAAGTACCATGGTGCCCTGTGTGTGTCTTTGGAGAAAGGAGACAGCTATTGTTTAAATATTTAACTGTGGGGCAATGAGGCATGTAGTTAGAAGTCCTCTAAAGGTCCTGTAAATTCATTAGTTGTTTCTTTAGAGATAACTTTGCTTCCATAAAAAAAATAAAGGAAAGACAAAAGTTACATTTTTGCAAGAAAAGAATTAGGCAAAACTTTACATTTATGGTTGAATTAGTATTCCCATTATTAAAATTTGACTTTGGATTTAAACCCTATCTTTTTTTTCCCAAGTTACCATTGGAATAAATTTCAATGATAGCAATAAAAATGTTAACTTGAAGCTAACCAGTAATTTTAGTGCTTTTTACTAGATTGTGTTTTTATGGAACTAGTTTCACTAAGCAGACATGTCATAGATGTAGCTCAATTTAGCTTTCTTTTTAACAGTTGATTTTTGTTGTCTGGAAAAAGAAATGGAGTGTGCAAGCTCCAATTCCTCTCTGAAAAGTCAGTGTATGACTTTTTCTTCATGAACTTCTCTTTGACTCCCCAAGGACTTGCTTGCAACTTCTCCTACATTTGAACCTTGTATATTATCATATTGTGGTTTAAATTGGCATTAAACAAGTAGTTATAAACTTGACTCTCCATCCATGCTAAAAGTTGATAAGCTACATCAGTGTTTGTGAAAGCAAAGAGCACTTCCTGGATACATTGAGTACCATATAGAAACATAAGTCCATAGTGTCTTGGCAAAGGAGACACTAAATGAGGGGAAGTGGTTGGTAAGTGCTGAAACTGCTAGGATAGTTAGGACTGAACTAACCAGAACCACGCTGTATATTTCTAGAACACTTAATCATGTTTTATGATCTCAATGGTCAGTCAACTCTCCTGTCTCATGGGCTAGTTTTCTATAAGATAACCACTTCCATTCAAAAAGCACCAATAATGCCCACTGGCATAAACTTTGAAATGAATTTATCGTTAGAACTGACATGTAACAAGTAGAACAATAAGGTAGATTTTTTTAGAGATTGTAATTAAGTGAGGATTATGGGATTCAAAATATCTTTTGTACTCATGTAACTGAGTAAAACATTAGAAATTTCAGAAGAAAGCAAATTTATAATCAATTTATAATCAATATATGAATATTCTACATATTACTTTAAAAAATGAAACTGTAAAGAGGTGAAGTTTAGTCAAACTTTTACCCCTTCTATTTTCATTCTATAATTTGTATGGAACAATACAAAACTGCTCCATTATTGCAGAAGGGGGTCAAGATATAAAGCCATTAAAAAATCCACCTTTTCTTTGTTACCAAATACAGCAGCTGTTATACCAACAGTTGGTAATCAGCCAAAGATCACTTTGGGACTTGAACTTCTCACCGCTGTTGAAATCACCCATACACTCTTCAGTAATCTGGACAGTTTGCTGTGGTTACCTGTAACTGTTTTCCTGGGTTGGGGACATCAGTACAACCCTAACCACCCCCACCCCCACCCCACAAGCAAAACTGCTGAAGATAAGGAGTTCACAGCTCTAGTAGACCTTCGACAAGAGAAGTTGTGGCCTGTGTGGAGTTTACAGGGTCCTCTCAATGGAAGAAAGCGAATCTGTTTAGTATTGGTGCATTTCACTAAAATGGCAGCTTAAAGTTGTGTATCTGCTATTGCGATGCCAGTGCTCATGTTTTAAGTGAAAAAAAGAAATAACTTTGTTGTGCTGTGTATACGAGATTTCTGGGAAAGTAAAGAAAACCCCTTTTTATGCCTCCCACAGCTTGAAGGTACCTGACACTGACGTGTGCACTCACCGTTGAGCTGCTTTTGTCTTATTCCAAATAATTCCTTTGGAGGAAGAAAAAGATAACCATTTCAGAAACACGCAATAGTAATAATTTGAACAAAACAATATTTTCTTTAAGCAAGTATATAAAGCAACTTTATATACTTTAACAATAAATAGATAACCTTTTTTGAATATTGTGTGCCCAGCACTGTTCTAAATAATGTGCATATACAATACATACATTGTTATACACACTATAATGTACACATGCATATACATCATTAGTTATAATGTATAGATTGTATACATTAAAATGTATATATGCTATATACACATATTAATATATATATCCCAATTTAATCCTTACAAAAACCTTTTAAGGTAGGCGCTATTTTAAAATTCTTTGTTAATAACTTGATGACGATTACCATTGGAAGGTGCCTGAGTTGGGATTTGAACCCCTGCAATGTGGTCCCATCGTCACAATCTTTGACCACTCTATCTGTGCCTCCTAGTAGAGTAATAGAACTTAACAGCTAGGTAATATTATTTAGAGCTAGTATAACATAATTTCCAGGCTTGGCTTATATAACCGGTCAGGCTTTGGGTGCATTTAGTGAATTATCACTGTACATGTTCTATTTTAATCTTAGTAATTTACAGTTGATTTTCAAATTGGTGCACTAGATTTGTATGGGTGAGTTACTCTTCTTTCTCCTAGAAAATCACTCACGCTTTGGTAGAATGATTAAAAGTCTTCAGAAGTTCGCTGGTGGTCCTTCAACATGTTTCTTTCCTGGTAAAATCAGAAATCTGCTTCAGTCCTCCAAGTCCCTCCCCAGACCGCACGGGCCCTGGGCGGGGCCTGAGGCTGAGCCCTGTCCAGTGATCTCGCTGGAAGGAGGAGCCAGGCGGACTGAGAAGAGCTTCCCGGTCTGTGGTCTCTTCTTGGTATGCGTTCTTCACTCTCATTTCTTCTGACTGTTCTCTTCTTGATCTGCTTTCTTCCTTCTCATTTCTTGCACCTTGGTCCAGGCTTGTTAGCATTTCCTCTGGTGACTTCTTTTTCAGCTGCCTCCTCCTGCAGGCACATTTTACTCCCTCTTTCGGCCTGACTTCCTTATTGCTCCTTTACTCTTTTAACTGAGGGGGCCGAGGCAGGGGTGGAGGATGGAAATTGAAAAATAATTTTTGTGGAAAACTAAAGACAGTTTTGTAAATAAATGAATTTGGAAACTGTCCTTGCAAACACTGTTGAAAAAAAAATACCTATTCCAGAACTTCTTTCTTTTAACCTTTGTGGATATTTTTTTCTCAAGCTTTTCATGCTCCAAGGTTCTGCCTCCTTTCTCAACCTTCACTGCCTTTTAAAGATCTTTCCATAGTACAGGAGAAACATGAAAATTAATGTAAAGTTATTATTATCTTACTTTTTTGATGAAAGAGTAATAGCGGTTAAAAATGTGGGGAAAAGCAGTACTAACTAAGAGCAAACATTCTTGTAATGTTTACTTTTAGGAGGAGCTCACCGCTGGCTGGGGTTAATCCCAGTTGGAGATAGAGATGATTGTCTGAAAGCTGGGAGTTGAAAATTTTCAGGGGGGAACCCCCTGAAGAGGATAGGAGCTTCTTTAATGTGTGCAGCATTTTCATGGATATAAAGGATGAATGGAGAATGAATGGATCTACCAAAACTTCCTAGTCACTGAGCTCTATTTTGCCAGGATCAAGAATGGTCAAGCTCCAAGTCAGGAGACTGGCATATTCTCTCAGCATTTTGGCACCAGAATCAGATTTAATGAACATTTCTAATATTTTTATTTATTTTTATTTCTTCCTATATGCTATAAGAAGGTCCTTACTAGTACCAAAAGTTGGGATAGAGGTTATATATTTATTTTTGAAGAAAGTATTTGCATATTTTAACTGAAGAAAATAAATTTATTATTGAGGTATTTTATTCCATGAAAGTCAGGACTAAATTCCACTTCAATGCATATTTAGTTTTATCACTCACTGAGCTTATTTCAATATAAATTGCTGAACTTACCCTTTCCTAAAATGCTACTACTTGCAAGTGGGTTACAATACCAGAACTATTTTTTTATTTTAGAGGTTGTATATATTAAAATTTGTTAGCATGTATTGAAAATTAGGAAAAGCTACATAATTGTTTTTTTAAAGATTTTATTTATTTTTAGAGAGAGGGGAAGGGAGGGAGAAAGAGAGGGAAAGAAACATGACGGTGTGGTTGCCTCTTGAGCACCCCCTACTGGGGACCTGGCCCACAACCCAGGCATGTGCCCTGACTGGGAATCAAACCAGTGACCCCTTGGCTTATAGGTCAGCACTCCGTCCACTGAGCCACCCCAGCCAAGGTGGAAAAGCTGACATACTTTAGAAAAAGGTTTTCAGAGATGTTGGATTTATTATGAGACACAGAGCTTATACATTTGGATCTCCCAGTGCTTGACATATAGTTGGTATTCCATACACATTCATTGAAATAAATGTATTCAAAATTTAGTACTTTATTACTTGCAGTAAAAATAACATATGAAGCAAGGAAATGCCTTCAAAGACTTTAGATACATAAATTACAGTCTGAAAATATCATTTCCTAATCAAGATTATCTTCTGAACAAGGAAGACATAAGGACCTAGTATAATTTGGCAAATCCACTACCACTAAAATAAAGCTTTCATTTCCTTGCAGATTCCTGAAAGGACTTCATCTGGGAAAACATGGCTGATGTTGGTTCCGTTTCTTGGTTTTCCAGCCATGTGACCTTGAACAAGTCATTTTCCTCATTTGTACTGAAGATAATAATAGTTTATCTGAAAGTTTCTTGTGAAGTTAAATTAGATAATGTTTATAAAATGCCCAATTCATAGTTTTCAACAAAATATAACTTTATGAGTATAATGCTGTGTCCTTCCATTTCATCCTTGGAGAAACCATGTAAAGTGCAAATACTGCTTGTATCTCATGTACTCAGCCTTTTCAGTCTTTGACATTTTAAGTGTTAAATGACCACTTGCTTGGTTAAACCTTTTTCTCCAATTGAAAATGGAAAAACAATATGCCATCATTTAAACTCTGAACTGGACTAAGAAAACCTATACCCTGAGGCCAAGGCAGATAACATTACAGTTTACTAACCTTTAAATGGTTGGGGCCCCCTTTTATCTCCCCCGAAAAGAAAAAAAGTTTTTAGCCAAAAGACCAGATGGTAACAGCGGTGCTTTTGCTGATTTACAGAATTTTTCTTTATCAGATTGAATTTTATTATGAAGACCTTGGTTCCCGGGGGTCGATAGTTCAGACTCCTGCACACTGTACAGTAAAGGACAAAGGATGACACATGAACTCACAGTGCCTATGGTGGTTAAGTACATGCACAATTTCTGCAGGGGATTTAGTTGCAATTTTATAAAGTGATTTGGGATCTAGACTTAAAGTCTCAAAACCTTTGGGAGCCAAATGCCCGTTTTACAGCGGAACGCGGTGTCTGCCATGTGCCGGAACACGAACGGCCGTGGGACTCGCCGCAGAAACCCTGTGCGGCTCCCTCTGCGGCCCTCGGGTCCCGCCTGCTGCTGGGCGCGGAAATGCTCATTTCATTCCTGACGGAAGGAATCGTGGGCATAATGTGAAAGAGCGTGTTTTCATATTTTTCCTCTAGGGCCTGACATGGATTTCAGAGTCGCACACACCTGGGACGGCTCCCCGGTGGGCCACGAGCCCGTGCGCGTCGGGCTGGAGCCGGGGCGCGGAGGGGTGCTCCTGCAGGCCAGCGCTCCGTTCTTCAACGACCCTCCGGCCCCGCCCGGAGCGCCCGGGAAGCCCTTCCGCGGACTGTGGGATTATGAAGGTGAGTGGAAGTACTGTACTTTATTGCAAACATAAATCTTTGTGTAATAACCTCTCCCGGGGCGCTTATTCTGTCTTGCTGTGAGGAAGGGGCATGCTTCCGAGGCACTGACACGTGCAGTGTGAGGTGTTTCCTACCAGCCCCTCATTCCGGCCCTTTCACCGTGACCTGCGTGCCTCCCACGGTCACCGGGACCTGCGTGCCTCCCACGGTCACGGTGACCTGCGTGCCTCCCACGGTCACCGGGACCTGCGTGCCTCCCACGGTGTGCCTAGAGCGGTGAAAAGGGCAGTCGCAGATCCAGGCTTCTCAGTTGCTGCCGTGTGCCCTTCCTCTCCGTCTGCCAGCTATTTGAAGAAGAGTTCAGCGTTCCCGTTTTGTCTTTAAGTATCTCCAGATTGCCACTTGAACCTTATAAACCTTCTGTATGGAAGTGTTGGGCTGTTTTACTTTTTATAGAAACAGCACCAACTCCAACATGAAATGTAGTTTTTCTTTTAACGTACTGAGAAGTGATCTCACATATCAAATGAAAGTTCAAAGACACCCTAAAATTACAGTTTCAGGATTGCTGTCTGATTCCTTTGCTGGGTCTCCCAATTAAGCCACCAAGTGATGCCACTCCCCACGTCACAAACCGTGACTGCCCCTAAGATAAAGTTCACGCCCTTCCTGTAGACGTTCAGGGTCCTCATGCATTGATTGGGCTTTCACCTTCGGCCCAAAGCCCCCGCCTTCTGAAAGGTCGTGGTGTCACTGTCCACACGCCTTCTCACTCGCGGACCCTTTCTCATTCTAGTGCCCTGCCCCCACCACACGTCGTTCAAGGGCGAAGTCAGGCTCCAGTTATTCAAGGAAACCTCTGATGACTCTTCTAGTCCCCGTGAACATCTGCTTTTTCTGTGCCATCTGTGGAGCCGGCGTTTTGTCTGTTAACGTGTCATATGTTAGACACATGTTGTCTCTTACTGACGCAGAGCTTGCCCATGTCGGCCTCCCGCTGGGGGACGCCGCAGTGCCACTCACCTACTCTGCAAGTCCCCGCCCCCGCCCACCCACCTTCTCACGAACCCGCTGCTCTCCCCAGTCGCCCGCCCGGCCTCAATCAGCGGCACTCCGGTACATCAAATCACCGAATACAGCAACGTGGGATTTTCCCTAGTTGGTCTCTCCCACTCGCCGTATTTGGATGCATTAAGCCTTACGAATTCCCCTCCGAAATGGTTCTCCGATTCAGTACCCCTTCTGCATTCCCACCGTCTCTGCTGCCGGCCAGGCCTCCGTCACCTTGTACCTCAGCTGGGGCAGAGCCTCCTAAGCAGTCCTTTTGCCCTTAAGTCCACTCTTCCCTCTTGGAAGCCCGAGGGATCTATCTAAAATAAAAATTTAAACTCATCATTCAGCTACTTAAAAACCTGCTCAGGTGTCTGCTCCTCCCAGGATAACTTTTACTCTTCTTCTTCTTTTTTTTTTTTTAGATTTTTATTTATTTACTTTTAGAGAGGGAAGGGAGGGAGAAAGAGAGAGAGAGAGAGAGAGAGAAACATCAATGTGTCGTTGCTGGAGGCCTGGCCTGCAACCCAGGCATCTGCCCTGGCTGGGAATCGAACCTGCGACACTTTGGTTCGCAGCCCGTGCTCAATCCACTGAGCTATGCTAGCCAGGGCTACTTTTACTCTTCTTAACGTGATTTCTGTATAAGATTTTTCATGACCTGGCTGGCCCCTTACCCACTCTGCAGCATCACTTATTAACACATTGAGAGGTTTGCTTATCTGCCAACGCTGTGATTGCTCTGTAGCCTACTTACCATGTACAATATCACGGATATCTTTTCATGTCAAAAACACTTAACTGTGTCTTTGGTTTTAATGACTACATTAGAGTCTACCGCATAGAATACATAAATTCTGCAACTTATGTACTAGCTTTCTTGTATAATAGATTTATTTATATAATTGTCAACAACGCTACATAATAGGATATAATCATTTAGATAATTTCCAATTTTGGGGGAGCAATACTTTGGTGACTAGCATTACATTTACTACTTCTTCTTGTTGTCTGTTGTTTCCTTAGGATACATCCTTAGGAGAAGAAAACTGGCTCAGAGCCTGTGTGATGGTGTTGATTTCTTTACAGCCTCGCCAGCAGTAGCCTTTATTCATCTTTTTAATTTATGGCCATCTCATATGGGAGAATTTGATGATGATTTATTTCTAGGCAATGTCTATTTATTTTCTTTTTTCCTTTTCCTATTGGGGATAGAGCTATAATTAAAAATAATGAGTTAATTTATTTTATACTCTAAAGGAATAAGAAATTAGTTATTGTTGAAGCAAAATTAAATTTCTCAATATATTGTATTTCTGTTTTCAAAAGTTGTGGAGGCATTTTTCTTGAATGACATTACGGAACAATATTTAGAAGTTGAACTTTGCCCGTAAGTATGAAATTTTTTTTGTAACTCATTACTACATAATTTAAACACATTGATTTTTGCTTATAAATCATGTTGTCATAGTAAAAAAAATCACTAATTCCAACAATGTAGAGGAAATGCTAATCTGAATTATGCATATTTCTTATTTTCAAGTTAGTGTATAATTTAAAATACATGTTTAGAGCAGGGTGGGCCAATATTAGGTTTACAGTTGACAGTATGCAAAACACAGTTTATTCTTGTATTGTTATTTATTAATTATTATATTATTTTCCATATGAACAACTGTAAATCTACTTTTGCCCCACCCTATATGTATTATAAGTGTTTGAAAATATCATGTTGACATAATTTTTGTTTGACTAATATAGTTGGTTTTTTAATGAATTAAAAAAATTCCTTTTTGCAAAATGAAAGATTATTATAAAACACAAGCTCATTATTTACTCTGTAAATTTGCATTATTATGTACTAGCTATTCAGAAATAAAGGGAAACGGAGATATAATGAATTAAACTAGTTTATGAAAATATTTCAGGGAATTTTTTTAATGGCTAGATTACACTTTAAATTTATGATTCCATAAAAATGTATTCTTGCATTCCTTTATTTACTCACCATTCATTCATTGAGTGCGTCACTCTGCACTCAGTACCAGGGATGAATCGGACACGGCTCTTCCTGGACTCATTTAAGGTTTTAAGCTTGGACTCTCTTTGTTCACATTTAACCATTCTCCGGGGAGCCTTCTTTATCTGGTTGACATTTTTATCCTGTAGATGTGAAAAAGCTAACTTATGCCCTCCTGTCATCTATAGTATAACAATTTTTAAATTAGTAAGATAATAATGAAAATTGTTTTGTATTGCAATTATTCAGTTTAAATGACATTTAAGCGCATCCCAGTATCAAATATCCAGTAGCCTTTGTTTCTTTGTAGCCTTGGGATTGAGTTAAATGAGATGATAGATATTTTCTTTTCCTTATTTTGGTTTTTCTGCTAACTCTAATGTGGAAAATCTAGCTGTTTGCAATTATACTTTTCAGAAGAATAACATATATCTTTGCACGTCACCTTTCAACTAACATGCCAAAATCTTTTGTGGAAAAATATGATTAATTGTCCTAAGCTGTCACTTGACATAAAAACATTTCACCTATTAGGTGATTATTTTCACCGTATAGGTGAAAAAGCTAAAGCAAATAGATTTATAGCTTGTCTGCAAGACAGTAAAGAACTTGGATCCCCCTGGCTGGTGTGGCTCAGTGGACAGAGTGCTGACCTGCAAGCCAAGGCGTCACTGGTTTGATTCCCACTCAGGGCACATGCCTGGGTTGTGGGCCAGGTCCCCAGTAGGGGGTGTGTGAGAGGCAACCACACATTGATGTTTTTCTCCCTCCCTTCCCCTCTGTCTAAAAATAGAATAAATAAAATCTTTAGAAAAAAATACTTGAATCTACTAGAATTCTAAAGTTTTGTCCCTACTTTTATTTTTATTAGATAAAAATATCAGTTTATTTTCATAAACTCTGAAACTGGTGCTTCTATTAGTACTGGATGAATAGGATAATTAGATTCTCTTTTATTAAGGTAATAAATAATAACCATTATGTACAAAATTAATAAATTCTAAAAGTTAAAAAAAATCCTCAGAGTAGTTTGGTTTCATATATATCAGGACAGTCAATAATCAAGAAGCATGGTTTTGCTTCAGGCAATCAACTCCTATAATAGTTAATTAATCTCTAGGAAAGTAATGTGAAAAATACTGTTGTTTCAATTTACAAGAACTTTTACTTCTCCTAGGCTGTTATTAAGCTTGCATAGTAACGATAAAATGAAGTAGAGGGAAAGAATACTTGTCGTCTGTTAGAATAGCTTGCTAAAGAAAATCCTCCTTGAAAAGTTCACAAAAGACTCTCCGTACGGAAATGTACAGATAGAGAGTCTTTTCCAGAGACAATACGTTTGTGTCACGTAACCACTTGCAAGTCTTTGCCTCTTATTGACCTGGCTAGTCTCAATTATGCTCCCTCATTTGAGTTTCCTTTGAGAATCGTGTTTCTCTTTGAAAATGTGACAGTGGCGCCCAATCTAATGATTGAAAGCAGGAAAAACGCAAGAGGCGGACAAAGTTTTAGACAATCTGTATTTTGTATTTTCTCCCCTCCTAATGAGCTTCAAGACAGTTTTCTTATAGAAATAACTTTTCTAAAGTTGTTGGGGTCAGATCTGGGAATTACTGCCAGCTTCTCTTCAGGTGCTTTCATTTTCAAAACTGGTTTATTATAATCTCCAAATACCACGCTGTCCCCTCTGCTCCTTTTCACACTTTGCATCATCTAACCAGTTGGGAGCTTTTTATACAATTTTGTATTTAAAGAACATAAAAGCAACCTGAGCACGTGTAGCTTTTGACTATAATTGTCTGGAAAAAAGGTAAACTCAAAGATGTCATTTCTAAGTAACTGAACGCACTGGCTCTTCCTCTAATTACCTAATGTTCGTATTGCATCTTTTTAATTATTTGGAAGTTTGGAATGTACAAATGCACTGCAAGTATGAAGGATAGCGAAGAAAACGCTGCTTGTTTCTTTCAAACACTCATGAGGAATTTTAATTTTGACAGCCATGGACAGCATTTGGTGCTTCTATTATCTGGAAGAAGAAATGTGTGGAAAGTAAGTAGATAAAAACACAAGACAAAATTCTTAAAGGTAGAAGATACATGTACGTGTAATATTTAATGTATATGTTTAAAGTGTCCATCTGAATTTACCTGTTCTATTTCATATATTGCTTCCCAGCAAGAACTTGCTCTATCATTCAAAGCGTCCAGGGGAGAGACCACCTGGGAGGGCACAGCCTGTATTCCTTGGAGTTATTTTCCACCAAATGTGACAAAATTCAATGCATTTGCAATTCATGGATCAAAGGATAAAAGAAGCTATGAAGCTCTTTACCCTGTGCCTCGGCATGAACTGCAACCCGGACAAAAACCTGACTTGTAAGTAGGGGATGAATGAAGACAGGTTCCACCTGTGAGAGTGTCTGGAAATTAATTCTTGGCGGAGCAGTTGTAACGTTTTTGCTCAGAGGAGAGCTGTATGTACAAGCGCCCGGTGGGGTCCTGTGCTCCCTGATGGTCCTCAGCAAACACAGTTGACACACTGACTGTGGAAGGACAGCCTGCCTCACTCACCGTTGTAACTGCAGTGCTTACACTTCCATAGCAGTGTGAGAACAGTGTTGCTCAGTGAGTACTGCAACAGCTGGTGTAGAAGTATCGCACGTTCATTTATGATCCCTTTCCGAGCTAAATGGCCAGAGGCGTCCAGATTCTTGGTGTGAACAAAGGGTTAATAAATTCTTTCCCTTGTTGCTTGAGAATCCCTAGCTCTTCAGTTAAATCCCTAGCTCTCTTCCCTTGGTCGCCTCATAAGGATAAAAATATCAACTAAGTTTCTAGGCAACATGGCTTATGATAAAAATGACTCCCAATAGGTAAGTTGTATCTGGACTGATGGTATTGTGAATAGACTGTAAATACCCAGTGGGGACTCGTGGCTTTGGATTTCCCTTTAACAGTCACGTTCCCCTGTGGGGTCCCTAGAAGCTCTGTCTGTGGACTTACTATACGAGATATTGGCCCTCGTGGGGCAGCGGGCATGTAAGCCCAGGTGTCTCCTACACTTGCCTGATCTGAGTCTCGTCTCTTTGAAGCTGTCACCTGAGGACGCACAGCTCCTGGCCAGCGGGGTGGATGCTTCAGGGACTGCAGCATGCTCTGCTTCCTTAGTGGGGAGAGCCAGCTGCCGCCCTGGTGCAGGCTGGGCTTCCTGCTCTCTAGAGCTCTGAGTGTGCTCAGGTGGCCACGACCGGCTGGAGAGCCTGGGTTCAGAAGAGCCCAACAGAGACATCCTAGCGGGTTTTGCGCCAGGGCAGACTCACTTCCCTGCCTTTTTACCCCTGGAAAATGCTCTCCTCCTCTCCCTCTTTGCCTTCTCCTTCCTGTCTTGCTCGCTCTTTATTCTGCCTTCATCTCTTCCAGCCTGTTCCTTTCTCCTGCCTGACACACTTTTCCCTCTGCGGTCCTCCCCAGTCCTGAACCTTTCCAACCGGCGTCTTCAGCTCCCCTCTTTTTCTCTTAGCCTTCACTGTCGGTTCCTTAACCCCCTCATCTGGGACTGACAGTTGTGGCTCGGTCTGGCCAGGTGAGCGGCACGGGGCTGGCATCTGGATGCAAAGGAATGAGGGCCTGCTATCAACGTGGCTTGTTTCCCTGCTTCTTCACCACCGAATACCTCCTTATATTTAGGCTCCTTAATGTGATGTTATGTTCAGCTCCTCAACTTATATGTCACTGCAGGCTTACCGTAGGAAAAAGTACGGTTATACCGTGGGCCAGGGCAGAGGCAAGGCTGAGTGATGCCCTGCAGAGCTGAGCTCCGTGGGCGGCGGCATGTTAGTGAGCCTCCCTCCGCCTGCATTAAGCCCCAGGAGAAATCTGCGCAACTGTTAAAAGGTGTTCCTGGGAAGAAAAGAACTAGGGTGAATACCCTTTTCACCTCCTTTGGTTTGGCAAAGGACTATATATGTCCTCTAATCGATGGAGCTGAAACTTTTAAAAACGGTTGTTCACATGACTAATGTAAACTACATCAAAGTGTAACTATGAAACATCTTTAAGAATGTAATGTGAAGGCAAGGTGGGGCGAGGCAGGTTTTGAGGGTTGAATTTTTTTCTGCCCTCCACTGTGAGGGAGCTAGCTGTAGAATTTCGAGGAGAGTGCTTTGGGACAGAGGTGCCTGTTTTCAGGGCTGAGTGTCTGAGAGCCAGAGTGAGAAAGTTGTACAGACAGGCCACAATTACCTTTGGGATTCTTCAGACAGAGTGCTGTCTTATCACAGGTGTGACAGCATGAGTAGCCCTTCCAAACAACTATTTTACAAACGTGCAATTCAGTTCAGCTCCCACCTTCTTTTTCTTTACATTTAGCCACCGTCTGGAATACTTCAAGCCTTTCAGTTTTAACACACTGCTTGGAGAAGAATGGAAGCAACCAGAATCTGACCTGTGGCGAACAGAGAAACCTGATTTATAGGAGTACAGTAGCTGACCACATCAATCACTTCTTCCATATACCTTTTAAGGTAAATCAATAGCAAGCATGATCTCTTTCAAGATGCCATAAAAGCATTTCAACAATAAATATTTTCATAAAGGTCAATGACAGTATAATATCTCTCTGGAAAATGGTGAATAAATTAGCAAGAAAATGGAAAGTGTGTCGATGATTGTATCTACAAGGTTAACGTTTTCCTCCGAGTTGTTTAGCCAGGAGCCCTGGTGTTGGTGAGTTCTGGCCTCTGCTCTGTATCACCCTTACCCCAGATATGCCCGACTTGGCCACTCAGATCACTTCTCTTCCCGCTTCCCTAAACCTCGGCCAGCCTGAGACAGGGGCATCTTACCGCATATTCTTGAACACCGTGTAATACACATTAATTCTTTACTCAGAATCTTTTGTCCACTCTCGAAATGAGTAGAAAACAGTGACCTATTTCAGTTCAACAGGACATCCACATCTATTAAGGCATCATTAAGATACATGTGTTATTTAACGAGCTGGTTTTCCTGTCTTAGGACTATTTTTACTCTAGAAGGAATGAAATCTGAGTAGCAGCTTCTGCTTTTATTAAAAAGAAATGCCATTTTCTTAATGCTATTAAACAATGTGTGGAACGTACTCATTTTTTTTTCTGGCAAACATCAAATAGCTTGGTGTACAATTTTCAAATTTTCATTTATATTTCAGAGCTTGCAGCTATCTAGTAGGTCATGTATGAACCTTTCCACCAAACCTAGTGCTTCTCCAGCATTCTTAACTCAGAGGTGAGCAGTTTTGCATAAAAACCTTCATTACGAGTACAGATACCCAGTCGCCTACCCAAGATATACTTTCTACTCTTCTGTATGAATAGAACTTTAATTTTTAAGGGCTCTTGTCAAAAACTGCATTTTCCCAGATTCCTTTGCAGAGAGAAATGACCATGTAAGGCAGCTCATGTCAATGAGATATAAGCATTATTCATAGTGTTCGGTGGGGCTTCAAGAAAAGATGCTGTAAAGACACAGCTGCCGTACACCCTTTGTCCCTTGCCTTCCCCCTTCCTTTTTCCTGAGCGGCAGAGTGAATTCCCGAGGTAACACACTAGCGACCGTGGTCAGCGAGGGGCCACCTAAGGGAGAGCCGAGCAGAAAGACGAAGGAGCCGGGGTTCCAAACGGCGCAGAGCGGAGCCGTCTGTCTGGACTGCCCACCCACACCGGGGAGAAGGGAGCGCCTACTCTGTTCCCCCAAAGCGATCTGTAGATTCAGAGCAATCCCAGTAAAAAAAAATCCTAGAAGGATTTATTGGGGGTGGAAATGAACATGCTGATTCAATGGTCATGGAAAAAATATAATTAAAAATATGTGAAAAAAATGGAAAGGACCTTAGCCAAAACAATTTTGAAGCAGAATAAAGTTGGAGGACTTGTGCTGCTGAATCGAGACTGTTACTAAGCTTCAGTAGTGAAGACAGTACGCCCTTGGCATAGATTGAGACAAATACGTTGTATGTCGGTGGAACAGAATAGGGAACCCAGAAAGGGAACTCTATAGAGTCAATCGACTTTGACAAAGGCGCCAAGGTATTGAAAGGGAAAGGACAGTCCTCTCAACAAATGGTGTGGCAATAACTGGAAAACATGAAACAGTATGAACCCTGACCTCTACCTAATACCCTACAGAAAAATGGACCTAACTGTGATTGGAGAAATAAAAAATTTCGGGAGAAAGTCTTAATGATCTGAAGAAGACAGATTCTAAATTTTAAACTTATCTAAATTTCAAATAGAACATAAAAAGTACTCACTGAAACAGAAAAAAAAATAAGTTGGACTTCATCAAAATGAAAAGATTTTCCTTATCAAAAGCCTCCAGTAAATGTGAAAAAGGAAGTCACAGGTTGGGATACAATATTCAAAATACAGAGTATCTGACAGAGGACTCTTACTGAAAGTATATATTATGAACTGAAAATCAGTAATAGTGAGACAAACCACAAACCACTTTTTGCTCTTAAGTAGCAAAAGAACAGATACTTGGCAGAAGATAATATACAGAAGGCCAATAAATATATAGAAAGGTTCCAACCTCACTTATCGTCAAAGAAATGTGAATTAAAACCACAGCAAGATACCACTGTAGAATTGTAGAATGACTACAATTACAAACTATGCGCAATGGCTAACTGGCTGAAATTGAAAAAAAGATTGAGAATGCCAACCATTGATGGGAATGTGGAGTAGCCGGAATTTCCCTACACTATGGGTAGGAATGTAAAATGGTAGGACCACTCGGGAACTACTTGGCAATTTCTAGTTAAATACATAGCTACCCTATGCTTTAGTGTTTCATTCTTGGATATGTACTCAAGAGAAATGACTGTTCATAGCAGTTTTCTTCATAACAGCACCAAACCGTAAACAATCAAATTTCCATGACAGGAGAATGGGTAGTCTCATACAGCAGACAATGGAATACTTCTCATGAAAAAGAATGGCTTATTAATACGTGCAACAACCCAGATGAATCTCAAAAGCATTATGCTGTGAAAAGGAAGCCAGACACAGCATACTGTATAATTATTTTTATATGAAGACCAATTATAGGCAAAACCAGCGTATCCTGAGTCAGAACCACACCTGCTCAGTGTAGGGGAGGGGCTTCCAAGACCTGGAAAGGGGGAGGAGGGAATTTTCTGGGGTGTTTGAAATGTTTTGTATTTTGATCTGGATGATGCTATATATCTGCATACATTTGTCAACATTCCTTAAACTGTATGTATTTTAAGATATGTGATTCTACTACATGTAAAGTATACCTTAATAAAATACTGTTCTAAAATAAACTAGAAATAAAATGGTGTTCACTTCAAATTTATGCTGTTCCATTGAATAATTGTTAGTGCTGGTTAAATGTGACTTATCAACTAACTTTTTTCATTCATTAAGTATCTTCTTTATCTGTAAAGAGAGCTGGTGTAAGATAAATGCTTCCTTTCCAAGAAAAACAAAGCAAGAAGTACTCTAATTACTTACCATGGCAGCAGTGTTAGGCATCTTTGATTAAGTAGAAATTATTATTAAAATTGACAGTAGTAACTACCTAATTTGATATGGTAACCATCTGCCAGTTTGGGGTAGGAAATACATATGTAAAATAATCTAGAATGATTACCTGAGAAATAATTATGTTACCTGAGAAATAATTTTACACGTGCATGTAAAACTATCAGTGCAAAAAAATAAGATAAATTTCAGAGTGTCCTGATTGTAGAAGTGAATCTATTGCTGTGACTCACAAGGTCAGATATAAGTCATCACTGTTTGTAACACGGGGAAAAAGTAAAGCTCAAATATTCTAGATCACAGTCGCAACCATATAAAACATCTAATTGGAAAGTTGTGGTGCATGAGCTTTCTAAAACGTATTATGTATTTTTAAAATTGGTGTAGATGTTTTTTAATCATCTCTTAACTTTCTTTCATCTAGATAAAGAGATGTTTCTTCTTTCAATACCAAGCAAGCAAAAACACATTATATAAACATTTTCTTTTGAAAGGAACATGCAGTTTAACCACAGAATTTTGGAAAATGTGTCTATTAATAAGACACAAACAATGCGCCCTGTAGAAACTTAATATTTGAAAGTGGGTGTTTGTAATAGTTGTTTCAAATATGTTTTTCAACCTCAGGATCATGAAAGGACAATCATTCCTTTGTTTACCAGCATGCATGAATGCGTTTCCCCCCAGTGTTCTACTTGCTCGCCAGCATCATGCTGATGGTCTCTTCTCACCGCCTAAATAGATAACACGGCGTGTGCACTCATGTGCTTTTCCTGTCTCCTCATCCCCAACCCCATGCCCGTAAAGTCAGAATCCAGAGGAAAATGTTTACTTTTACCTCTAAAATACTCTTTGATATTAAAAAATTTTGCTGCAGAAAATTTTTTCTCTCATCTTCCTCTTTTAAAAAAAAATGTTAGAAGCCCTGGCTGTTGTAGCTCAGTGGAGGATGGACCTGCAAACCAAAGGGTCACTAGTTCGATTCCCAGTCAGGACACATGCATGAGTTGCAGGCCAGGTCCCCAGGAGGGGGCACATGAGAGGCAACCAGACATTGCTGATTCTCTCCCTCTCTTTCTCCTTCCCTTCTCCTCTCTCTGAAAATAAATAAATAAAATCTTTAAAAAAATGTTAGACATTTGGGACAGAAAATAATGAATATAATTAGTCTGATTCTTAAAAAGAAAAAGGGTAGCAAATGGAGGAAGCCATTACAATAAGTCCTCGGTGCTTCTACTCACGCCTCAAAGCCCAACGATCATCTCTGCTTTCTCATTTAATTCTCCGTTGGATTTCATACATTGACTTTATCCCACGGTGCATCAGAAAGCTCTTATGGCTCACCCCCAGTCCTCTCAGCCCTGTACTCCAGCAGCCAGTCTCACTTGGGGGGCTGGCAGCACCTCGCCCAGCTGTGCTGGAGGCCCCCTGCTCCCTGCCGGGGCCTCAATGCTGCCTCAGCTGCGTGGGCCACCCTCGGGAACCCACTTGGCCATCCTCACTCACCAGCTTCCCTGGATGTGTGACAGACTCTTGACCAAGAAGAGACCACAGGAGTCAGCGGATACATACTCTGCTCTTTTGTTCCTTGGACGGACAATGCTGAGGTCCCTTCCACATCGCCCCTCAGAGAGTCCCTAAAGTGATCACACCTCAGTTGCCTATCATAGTGGCCAACTAAGAACATGCCTTATTTTACCTCTTCCTCATTTCCTGTTTTCCTCTTTGTAGTCCCTTGCTCCTGTTTGGTTGAATGATTCAACCCAAACCAGCCTACTGTGAGCCCTGATCCCACGTTGTTACCTGATTCTACAAATAAAAATAATGTGGAAGAGAAACGGTGTTCATGAGCCCTTCACTTTTATGGGTACACACAGTCTCAGAGAAGATGAGCGTTCAAACCCCTCCGTATTAATAAGCCACTTTGCAAAGACAGACACGTTTTATTTCCCCAGGCCCCTCCTGGGCATCATTTATTGCAGCAGTGTCACTGTCATTGAAGCAGGTGGACTCTGGTGGACTGGTGGCTAATCTGAATGCCAGTCTCTTAGTATTTATCCTGAATAGGGAGTGAATCAGAGTGCAGGGGAAGATGAGAGAGGAAGAAAACCCAGGCCACCTCTTACAATAAATGCTTTTCCTAACTTGGTTTTTGTGAAAGGTCAAAAGTCAAGCTTTAGAAGACAGGACAACTTTGGCAACCAAACTTCACACTCTTGAGTGACTTGCAATAACAATAATGGCTTTTTATCTCTATTTATTAGAAACTGAAGTAATTTAGCGGTAATTTATTCTAAATGATTTTATAGTCTACCCGTGCAGAGGACCTAAAGGTCGTGAATGTCTGCCTCCCTGTCCTTAATATTTTATTGTTTGCAACAGTGACAATACATCTTTTTTTCCCTTTCTGAGAAGACTGTTTTCTTTTGAAAGTAATGAAGTGGAATGATTTACATCAGTGACCTTTCGAGCTGCAGGTTGCAAACCCATTAGGAAGTGGATTATGGAATCTATATAGTGTCCTGTATTTTCTGCGCATTACATCGAGGAGCTTGATTACAGTCAGGTTTAATTTTGGGTGAGAGTGTCTTGTAGATGGTGTTGTATTCTTCTATCAGGAGATGCATAGTGTCTGGTTGTCTCCTTTTGGTGATGTTGGAAGCCATTGATGAACATTGCCTAAATGCATGAATTCATGAGGGCTTGCAGTATGTCAATAATCCAATTTTCTCCTTCCGTATTTCTTAGCTGGAATACTTGTATAAAAATTATCCCAATTCAACTATTTTGATACCAAGAAGCACCATTTTTACAGAAAAAAATGCTGATGCTTTTATTTAGCAGCTTTCTGAATAATTGGTTTTCTAGCGATCTCCAAAGATGGGCAATGAGATTTTTAAAAGTATCTTATAAACTTATTGATTTAAAAAGAGTTTATGTGTATCAGTCAATCCATTGCAGTTTTCTCATTGATGGTAAACATTGACCATCCTTGGACAAAGGGATTCTCTTTAAGTTAGCTCCTAAAGCATTTAACTTGACCTTGGTTGTCTTTAATAGCTTACTTGCTTTCTGAATGCCAGGATGGTCCAGGCTTATCTTGAATATTGCCCGCTGTAGACAGAGCTAGCCATTTCTCCTGTAAGTCTTGGTTTCCCTCAGTGGCAAATGATATTTAGAGACCACTATTTGGACACTAGGAATGCCCATTGCTAATGAGCTGGATGCATGTTTTCTAGTCCTTTTAAACAGAAAATACATCGTGATTTCATATGGATACTTCCTACTTATTTTCATCGTCGTACTCTGTTTCCCTTCTAACATGACTCAATTGGTGTTCATTGATTTCAACATAATTTCTTCTTTGCTTTTCCCCAGAATACACACATAGGCTGAATAAAAAACACCATCAACAATTATATGATCACTGAACAGAGTTTAAAGGACATGTCATTGTTGTTATTCTTTTTGACTTTACAGTATACCCCACGAAGGCTATATAACTAAATTCCTGTGTTCGAGCCTTTATCTTGAGTATAGTCTCTGTCTGTGGATTATGTCACCAGACTCAATGCACAGTAAGATTCGTTGGCTTCCTTCCCTTTTCACTTCTTGGGATTTTTAAAAATTTAAGATAATTTTAAATATGAGATTTCAAACTCAAGCCTACAAATCAAGATATGCTTGGGAGAAGGCTGGCCTCCATTCTAGTTTCCTGCAACATATTATCTGCCTTCCCTATAGATTATCATTAACAAAATTTTTAGTTCATGTGTCCATTTTTTAATACAAGCAATATGTACAGGATGGGGCAAAAGTAGGTTTATAGGTGTGAATGTGTGAAACACAGAGTTTATTCTTTTCTAGTTCTGTATTGTAATCATTGTATTGTTTTCCATACAGACAACTGCAAACCTACTTTTGTCCTACCCTATATACATAGTTACATGCTCTTCCATCTTAGATAGAAACGTTGGCATACCAGATCTAACAGAAAGAATTTCACTGTCAAATTAAACTTTCATGAATGGAGGTTGGTATTTAGATTCACTGATAATTTTAAGGATATAAAACAATCAGAAGTCTGAGGCACTAGCCCACCCTTTATGGCTCCCTGGGTCCTTCTGTCTGCATTGGACACTGTCTCTGGGTCAGAGTAATGAATGTGGTCTATTGGTGAGGTTTTGGGGTGATGTCACACAGCAAGAGGGGGTTTTAAGTGATGAAATAGCTCCATTTTATATTTAGATTGGCCATTGGCTCACACGACATTTTTCTGAGGGTCATGCCTTATAAATCCACAGCTTCTAGGGACGATTTTGCTACCAGAATTTTGTAGATAAGGACACTCCTGCTGGCAAAGATCTTTAGCCCCAGTCACTCAGTTATCAGCATATTTACAAGAAGATTAGACTGGGGCACCTGTCTTTTTTTCCACCCCCCAGAGGATGTTTCCTTGGTAATTGGAAAGGCATCACAGAGCAGTAGCTTTAACTCCTCTCTCCCCCTGGTCCACCTCCTGAACTTAGTCAACATCTTTGACACATATCAGGTATCTCTTTTTTTATTATTCCTTTCACCCATTTCTTTGATATTTATATCAAAGCAATACAGCATTAACTCCATTAACCACCAGAATTTGCACCTTTTATCGTGGAGTAAGAATTTGCCCTATAAAATACCTAAAATGCTTTAGAGGTCTTTCACTATTCTTTTGCTAACTCAGTTCCTCTTTTTCTCCTTTATTCACACTTATTTGAAACATTTCATAATGTGTTGATGG